AAAAATTGGCTCTAAATGTCTGCCAGCTGCAGCTTCCTTCCTAAAAGTGAACACATCTTAGACAATGTAGCAGAGCTGCAGGCAGCAGCCAGGAAATGGGAGGGTGGGCTTTGTGTGAGCAAAGGCTTTGGTAGGAGTCCAGGATACGATATGCAAACTACAGCCTCTTTAAACAGTGGCTGAGGCCATATACGAAATAACTTCTGCAATTTTCATGTGGATCCGGTGGGAAAGTCATGACTTGCTCAAACACCTGAAGAACTGGAGACTTTTTCCCCAGAGGCCTACTTGCTTCTTTGAAAAGTGCTGGGGCTGCAAGGCCCAGGCCACATAACTGAGGACCACAGCTCTTGCAGAAAGCAGACAGGGATGAGTTGGGAAACCTGAAAAGCTACTTAAACCTTTATGTCCATTTATGAGATATGGTAATAACTCCTGCCTGCTCTACCTTATGAGAATAATTCTCACAGTAATTGTTAAAAAAAATATTAGCTATTGTGTGCCAGGCACTATCCTAAGAACTGGACATGTAATAATAACACAACCCCATTTTACAGACGAAGAAACTGGCATTCTTTTTTTTTTTTTAGCTGAGCCATCCTGCCGCCTGTTGGCAGCTCAGTGGCTGCTCAGCTCCGGCCGGGCATCGAACCGCTGTTGCTCAGAGCTCCCACTCTTGAGCGAGCTCTTAACCAACTGAGCCACTTGGCCAGCCCTTCAGACGAGAAAACTGATTCAGAGAGGTTAGGAACAAGCCCCAAGGTCATATAGCCAGGGCTTGGATTCAAAACTAGGCAGTTTGGCTTTAGAGATCATATTTTTAAATATTACTTATAATGTTGTAAAGAATATAATAAAAACATGCCTGAGAACAGCATTTGACTTTGAAAAATTAATGGTGCTCTAAGCAGCAGTGGAAGGAAGTTCTGGAAGGAAGAGTCGGCCTCTAGATAGCACTTGCTACATAATAGCTATTCACAAACAACTTCACTCAAAAGACTTGAAACTCTGATCTTTGCCCGTTTCTCTCAAATGCTGACTTTAGCCCAACGAAGTGCTCTAGATCAAATGACTCCTTTGACAAGTGAGAGTAAAGGGAAGAACTCTGCAGACCAGGCACCTCACACAGGGCTTGGCACCCAGGTGATGAATAAATAAACGCTGGCTGAATTGAACACTTTCTAAGCAAAGGCATTTTGAAATGTGCTATTCATATTTCACAGAATGGCTTGAATATAAATTATTTAGAATGTCAAAACAGGAAAGGGCGAGTTAAGGAAATTAAAAGAGAAATGGAGTGTAAATGAAATATTTAATTCAAAATAAAGAACCTGGTTACATATTCTGGAAACCCTTTTTCCTGGCTTAGCAGTGAAGTGGGATGGAACTAGCCTGTTCTTTAATAATGTCTGTCATTTGTGTTGTATATACATGCTGTACACATACTGTTCTGAACAAGCTGCTTATTATGCTTAGGTGATACTTTGTTAAAGGCTGACTTTTTTTTTTACCTCTTCGGACAAAAAAAAAAAAAATGGGTCCCTTACAACAAGTTGAGCTTGTCTTCCTGGCACCAGGTCTAATGATGCATTAGACTCACCTTATGTCCAACAAAATGTTGTGTTTGGTCTGCCTATAATTTCCAACCAATATCTAAGGACCCAATGCATAATGCAGGTTTTTCCATAATTTCCAAGAATTTAACGAGTAACTGGTTAATCCGTGACCTGCTATGATCCAAACCTAGCCCAGGCAGAGAACCTCCTATGAGAAGCAGTGAGGTTTGACAAGCCAGAGCTCAGCTGGGCTGCCATCCAGTCCTCTGTAAAACTGTGAAGCAGAAACCACCTGTGCTTAATTGCCCTAGAAGTCTTTCTAGTACAGTTATCCCTAGGTATTTGTGGGTGATTGGTTCCAGGACAGCTCTCAGATATTAAAATCTGCAGATGCTCAAGTCCCTTACATAAAATGGCACAGTATTTGCATATAACCTATGTACATCCTCTCATATACTTTAAATCATCTCTAGATTACTTATAATACCAAATACAATGAAATGTTATGCAAATAGCTGTTACACTGTACTGTTTAGGGAACAACAAGAAAAAAAAGTCTGTACATGTGCAGTACAGACGCAATCACTGTCGGCCTAACTACATAGTACACGTCCCCAGCAACATAACATTGTTGACCAGGGGTTGGTTGAATCTGCAAATGTGAATCCCGCGGTTATGGGGGTCTGACTGTATGACTCTCACACAGTCTCTCTTCTGACGCACATGTGTGAACTGCTACCCATATACCTAGTTGTGGAATCCGTTCTCTCTGTGAGACTCCTTGGTCTTTGCTTTAAGAACAGTGTGAAAGGAAGTCCTGACCCTCTTGGGACTAGGAAAAGCAGAAAAACAGACCTCAGAGCAGCAGTGTTTGCTATGATAGGCTCTCACAAAGCAAATGTTGAACTGATAAGTGACCTAGAAGAGATCATAGCTACAGGCTAAATTCAAGCTGGGGGTTAAAGCGACACACACACTCCTAAAAAGTTATCTCCAGGCATCCATATCACACAGTGGAGGTTTTAAAAAACACCTCCTATACAGGAAGCCCCAAAAGTCTTAGCAAAGTTTTAAGTTATCAGGACGGGGGTGGGGGTGGTGGGGTGGTGGGCTGAACCCACCCTCTGCCAGTCTCATAGAGTTAGATACACATGGTCTTGATTTATCATCAAGTTAAATGAGCAGCCAAGATTAAAAGAGACATTTTAAAGGGCTAATTAGTCAACCCTCAAAAAAGTAAATTAAGGGCCTGTGTTGAAATAGCCAAAAGGAAACTAATCCAGCATCATAGCAATAGTGCTTGGAGTGTATTCAAATGGAAAAACTTGGGCTGGAAATACTTGTTTAGAAAAAGAGCTACATCACTCCACCCTCCTTCAAGTAATCCAAGCCATCTCAAACGCTAAAGGTCTGACTAAGCAAGATGTATTTTATTAAAACCTCTTTCAGCTTGAACTAGATCATATCCTTGGGAATAAACAAATTTTATTCAATGAACAAGCAGAAGGGATTTGATTACTTTTTGTGTAGACTGCTTCTAGGTTAATGCAAAAAGCTCAAAAAAGGACATCAGATAAGGTAAAAGGCTTTATTATTCTGGATCAGCTTAAAGTCTGATACTGACACAAACAGGGATAATTATTATCTCATTACATTTGGCCTTTGGCACCCATTTGAAGTACTAGTTTTCCAAGTGGGACATGTTACACCCAGTAGATTCTCAGCATCTTCTGACAGCCATATTTACCCTAACTTCACAGAGTAGAGCTGTCAGATGTGCAGGAATACAAAGAACAAAATCATCTACTTTAGTTATCCTTTTCTTTTTCAAGGATTCTTTCAAATCAAGAGAGACAGATAGCATTATTGGCAGGTATTGGTCATAAATAACGCCTTCCCACAGTTGAACTCAAAAGAAAATCAAACACAAAATATACGACAAGTTCCTGAATATTCAGTTAATGCTATGGCATGCTTTGTTTTGAAATTCTGTGGCTTCCTTTTATTATTTCTCTCCTTGGACAAACCAGAACTCATGCTTAAGTAACCTTTGCAATTCTGGCTGTTACAAGCTTAACTTACACGAACCCAAGGACTTAAAGATTGATCTTTAAGAACAGATTTTAAAATTATGACAAAAATACAAATAAAATCTACAGTGATAAAAGTGAACTGGCATTTTGTGATGCTTGACCTTACAGCTGGAAGGACTGTGGGTAGAGTCGGGCTCCTCATTAACTCTGTAATCCTGATTTCCTGTTTAACTTTGTGGTAGCTTCCGGGAGAGGGATGGTAACAAATGGGAATAGCCATCTTGAAAAGGGAGTCCCGGACAAGCCCCCAAAATGTTGACTGGTGAAAATAACTCTCCAGATAATCCACAAAAGAAAAGGTTTATTTGAAAAAGAAACAAACAAAAACCACCGCCGCAATGTGAGGACGCACACCTATGACACGGGGCTCCAACTGGCCACCCATGTGGAGAAAAAGTACTCCCTTTTCAAGATGGCAATTCCCATTTACTATCGTCCCTCCCCTGGAAGCTACCACAAAGTTAAACAGGAAGTCAGGATTACAGAGTTAACCAGGCGCCCAGCTCCACCCACAATCCTCCCAGATCAACCATCACAAAATGCCAGTTCACTTTTATCATCAGGGATATGGATAAAACGAACCAAACTTCATGACGGGAAGGGGACTCGTTTCAAGGACAAGTACACAGAAAGTACATGGAGCTTGTTTCTATTAGGTTATAAAAGGGGAAAATATAAAAACTAGTTCATCTCAAGATGATCAATATGTAACTGCTGATTAAGGGAAGTCATTCTCAAGATACTTTGCACATTATAACTTAGAGTCCATCTATACACTGTATTAAATAGCTAGGGAGAATTCCATGACTTTTTGGCTCAGGGCTATACTAGAAAGTTATTGCTTTTTATGTGTGGAGAGAATCCAAAAGAGCAAGTTAAAACTAAGATTTTTTAGGTTGTGGATTTTCAGTTCAGGTCTCTCTTCTTTTATAATACCAATAAATCATTACTTTTTCTTAAAAATCTGATGACTTTAAAAAAAAAGTTGCAGCCCCTGGAGAACTGAGGACTCAATTCAAACCCCAGCTTCAGTGTATGACTACTGAGTTTATAAACACCTTCTTCTCATAAATGGTAAAAGTCATACCCTCTAATAGAACATGATACTGGGTTGGTAACATTGTAGATTGCTTAGCAAAAACATGGGGAACATAAATCTCATGTGGGAGGTAGATTCAGGGGGAAAAAGACAAATGGTATCTAGTGTTGTTCTACTTTCTCCAAAGCGTCGACTGCTTTTAAAATAATTTTACCTTACGAGATTTATCACTGAATCACATACTGAATCAATAGAAATGTACTTATCTGAACATCACATTTTTACACAAACTTTAAAAAACCTCACAGAAGTATAGTGAAAAGATTATATATTTTAAATGAAATCACGTGTCTGAGGCAGCACAGCTGCAGGAGTCTGCAGCAGGCGTCTTCTTCGGCAGTTGGCCTTTGGACAGGCCCTGCTGCAGCCAGCCCATACGTCACACTGTGCACAGAAAGTCTCAGAGTAACAGGAGACAAGCCTCGTTTTTGGCCTCCATGAGCTGGGATGTCATTATTGCAGAGAAGATGCACAGCTTAAAAAGTGAAGACTACTTATTCAACATGTTACAGAGTGACAATTTGCTTTATGGAATTTAAATACAGCATTCATCCCGAGGAAGCTGTGGATATACTATGATAGTTGAACCAGGCTAGGTAAATTTCAGAGTAGAAAGGATTGTCTCTAAAAAAAAAAAAAGGTAGCTTTCTTAAAGACCAGAGTTATAGAGTCACTCTGTTATATTTTTATCGTGTTTTAATGGGCCAAAGTTCAGTTAACTTACTCAGATTAGATCTATAATTCTGTTGACTGTTCAGGACTACAGTAGTCATCCTGGGACTTTCTATGGAAGTATGTACAAATTTTCCTCATGGAGCTGGTAGTAATAGTGACCTAGAAGAAGAAAGTTAAGATTTCAGAGATTTCCTAAGACAAAGTTCAGCTATTACCGCAGTGAGTTATCACTAAAGGGTATTTTAACTTAGGGTGCCTAGAAATTGGATTATTTAGTCAGCCAGCTTTCAATCCCCAATACTGTGAGGACAATGTCTCTTTTGGCTCATTTGTACTGAAGATAGTAAACATTTAACAGACATAAGTATGCAAGGAAGGCTGGAACTTTTCACGTGAACAGAAAATATTTACCAGTTAAACCTAATAGGAATCAAAGAGGTTACTATTATGATCCTCTTTGAAATAAATGAGTTAGGTCACCCTCCCAAATTTATAAACAAAACAGGTAGTGCCACCCTCTTCTGAAGAAGCCTATATTATTGCCACGTACATTAAAAAATTATTTTAAAGAAACCAGCTTCAAAGATTGAAATGATAAAACCAGTGTTAAAAAAGAGACAACAGGCCCCAAAAGGAGCCACGTGTGCTAAGCCCCACCTCAGCAGCAAACCAAGACAGGCAATACATAACCGAATTGCAGTTTCAGCCTCTCCCAAGAATGTAGTAACCTTTAACCAGTCAATCTGGAATTTCCCGATCAAAATCAGTGAGGCAATCTGCCTGGTAGACCCCCTGCCTTTCCCTAAGGGAAGGTGACCTTGCCTGAAATAATAATACATTCTTTTTAACTTTCTTTCCCCTCTCCCTTTCTGTCTTTAAAAGTTTCATTTTGTATAGCTTCTCAGGGTTCCTTTCTATTTGCTAGAAGGGAGTCTGCCTGATTCATGAGTCCTTGAATAAAGCTAATTAGATCTGCAGATTTACTCAGTTGAATTTTGTTGTTTAACACCAAAAATATCTTGGACCAGCACACCATTTTTTTAAAGACTTTAAGGTTTGCACATTAGTGAAAAAATTTTTGATTGAAATTGCTTTTATGCTAACACATAGCTTCTCTGAAAAAACCCCCAGAAATTTTGGCTATAGGCAAAGGGCAGACAGAGTAATAATTTTGAGAGAAGAAAGGAAAGTCTCCTTAGAGCATTAATAATAAAAAAAAAGTTCTGTAGCAAGGTCTTGGTTGGAGTTTATGTTCGAAGTAATCTTTAAAACATATCTAGTTTATTTTTCCTAAAATTATGGGATAGGCTCCATGATAGTATGTGAAATGAAAACTCGCCTAAGGTTGTCCAGCTTCTGCCCTTTAAAAGGGCACATGTCGCTGATCATGACTCCTGGTTGGATTTTAATCATTCTGTCATCTTCTCCTTAACATACGGCAAGAGCTGCTATGACCTACTGTAGAAACTTCCCTAACCCACCTCCCCTTAACTTACAACTGATTAATGGAAGCTTTCTATTCCCTTTGACTGGTGCCCACAGCTCACCCAATGCTCACAGCTACTTCTGCCTCCACCACTATAATGAGTCACTTGCTTTTCAAGGCTCAGAAAGCTATTTATGCCAGCAATATCTGTTTTTTAAAATTACCTAACTTAAACATTATATCAACCAATAAGACATAAGTCCTAAAAAGATAAATAAAACTAAGCTGAATGTTTAAAAAGGTGTAGATACAGGTGAGTTGCCAAAAATATTTGTGTGAGCAAGATGACTGTAAGAGATTGGGGATAATCATTAAAATCTAGAGGATTCTGCACTTAAATTGCTTTGTTAATATCTAAGTTTCACATGTATTTTAAATAATTATAAACTTTAATTACAAACTGGAACTCTATTTATGGATGTTGGCAACTTGCCCACGAATGACAGCTTTTTTGCAAAAAGGAGAGGGAGTCTATAAAAAGGGGTTGCCAGGGGCCTGGAAGTGGAAAAATCACAAGAGGGGGCAGAGGGAATAATGTCAAACAAAGAAGAGGGAAGACATTTTCGACTTGATATCCTAGAGGATGAGGAGACTTTGATAAATCAGCAACAGGGCTGAGGGGTATGGACCTTGACAGGAGTGGTTTTAATGGGAGTTAAGTAGGGTTGCCAGGTAAAATACAGCCCCCACACAGTTACAACTGAATTTCAAACAACAAATAACTGAGTATAAAAACTTTTTAGTATAAATATGCCCCATGCACTATTTGCCCTGTATTTTTATGTGCTAAATTTGGCAACCCTGGAAATAGACTTAAAAAAAAGTATCTGACTGCTGAGAAGGGATCTGTACCTGTCCCCTTCAAGTTAGGAAATGCATCTTCCCACCACTGCAGACTCACCGGGCCCGGGGAAGTCTTCCCGCTCTGTCTCCTAGGATTGGGGGTCTGGGATGACGGACTCCGTGGAGATGGGTTCTCAGCCTTCCGTTTGGCTGCCATGGCCAATAACCAGTTTTTATTCTCTGGAGAGCTGTTCTCTTTGCCGACCACTTCAGACCCTTCTCCGCAAGATCCCAGAGGAAGAGGTAGTGTTCCACAGCCTTCTGAAGCGTAAGGACTGGCAGGAGAAGGGGGCTCCGAGACACTCATGCTGGCGCCTTCAATCTTGCTTGGTTTGGTAGGGCCTCCGGCGTCCTTCCCAAGGTCTTCCTGATTAGCAGTCAGACAGCACAGATCCAAATGAAGCTTTTCAACTGGGTCATCCAGCTCAGTGACACAGCTGCAACTCTTCACACACTTCTGTTTCACATTCTCCAGACAGCTCGAGTCTAGCCTCCTCTTGACTCTATTTCTAGACTCGGAGCAAGCCATGGCTTGGGATGACTTCAGGCTCACAGGAATGAGGGCTTTTCTTGGAGATACGATCTTGATCTCGGAAGCAGGTGGAGTGATGGGTGGTGATGAGGAAGGTGTTTGGGTCACCCAGTTTCTAATGGACATCTTGAAAGATGAGGGTGGCTTGGGAGAGACAGAGGAGACGGAGCCTCGTCTGCTGATGGGAGAGCGGGCCTTGGCAGGAGGGGTTTTAATAGAGAACGTAGGAGTATTTGAAGGAAGAGGCAGGTCTCCAGCACAGCTTGGAGCACAAGCTGCTGAGGAAGGGGAGGAAATAGATGGACTGCTTTTGACTCGGGGGGCTTTGGCAGGAGTACTCTGGCTACTTGTCACTGTTACTGAAAAAGAAAAAAAGGTCACAGAAATCAGAAGTGAACGCCAAAGAAAATCCCTGAATTCACATAAAAAAAAATGATACTAACTTAATCATCCAGAAGCTGACTTCCCAGTGAGGTCACAGAAATCATTTGATTCTTACCACAATCCAAGCATTTTCCTTTGCCTTTCCTAACTGCCAGCCTCCCAACCAACCATTGTAAAACATATACTTGTAAAACTCTAGAAAATACAGAAAAATTAAAAGAGAAATTTAAAAGCATCCAGGTGAACCATTTTAGCCTTTTTTTCTATACTTCCACACGTGATATATATATATCATACACCTCAATTTTTTCTATACAAAAATGAGACCTTAATGTATATACTCATATTATTTAGTAACCTGTTTATTATATCATGAACATTTCCCACACTATTAGTATAGATTTATATTATTATTTTTTTAAGCTGAGCCATCCTGCTACCTGTTGGCAGCTCAGCTCGGGACAGGACTCGAACCGCTGTTGCTCAGAGCTCACACTCTTGAGCAAGCTCTTAATATATTATCATTTTTAATAGCTACAAATATTCTAATGTAACAGTAAGACATTTAGATTAATGGTATTTTGTCTTCATAGGTAAAGTTGCTGTTAGCATTCTTACCTCTACTTTTGAGCAATGCTAGGGCAGAGAGGCTCTTACACAGGAGTGCCCAGGTCTCAAATCTGGCACCATCACCTACTATGTGACTTGCGCATAAACCCTTTACCCCCTCTGCCTCAGTTTCCGTATCTGTTAAATAGATACTTTTTAATCTCCACAAGAAGTAATTCCATCAATGATTAAGATTATCAGGCCTCATGTGGTTTTCCACCTTAATTTACACAGGGGTACTATTTGCCACTAGCCAAAGAATGTCAAAGAACTTTTCAGAAACTCAATGCTTGCTTTCAAAGCAAATTAAACAGTCAAACAGTTGACAGAACTCTTCTCTGTGTCCTGTCCTTTGTTTATATGCAACGGTAAGTACTCCAGGCAAATTCTTAAAAAATGTCATGCGTCTTCCCCCTCAGGCCCCACCACAGACAATATATTGGGTTGTCGGAAAAATCATGGTGCACTTTTGCAACGAAAACAGCAAAAATACGTCATGACTTTTCCGACAACCTAGTATTTTCTCACTTTCCTTCCAAACTTACCGGAATAGGGTTCCTGTCTTCAAATAACAAAGAAAAGGCACCTACTTAATTCTCAGTCACAAGGTCTTTGAATTATATAGCTCTGATACTTAACTCAGTTTGATTAATGAATTGCATTTATATGCAACTGAATTTAGGATGGGCTGACATAAAAATACAATCTCTCTTTTAGTTAGAATAAAGATTTACATGTACTCATTTCAGTCAGTTACCTGGTCCATTCTACCCTGTGCTTTCACTGCTTAAGCAGCTTTGCCTTGAGACAGAGAAAGTCTACAAATTGACTTTTGCCTAAACTTTTCTCATTCACCGCATGTTTAGAGATGGCTAAAATGATACTGCTCCTTTGATAAAGATCACTACCACAAAACCCCATTTTGTTATAATGGGAAGCTGGTGACAGGAACTTGTCCATGGAGTGTCTGGTGAGAGTTCTCACATTCATGTTCTAGAGCTTGATGACAGTTATTATTTCAAAAGGAAAGAAACATTGCATTTGCTTCACTCCTCAGTGCAGGTCAACAGTCACTGCACAGACCCTACTGTCATTCGTGCCATTAAAGTGAGCTGAAGTGTCCGTTTGGGGAGGAAAGTCCTAAAACAGTACAGGTCTTACAACAAGCAGCTTCAAAGACAGGATTAGAAGAGAAGGCAAAGCTGGGCCAGGGACAAAGCACATATACTGGGGGGGTCAAAAAAAGGTATACACATGATTTTTTGTATTCATCTTTTGTTATCGGTATATATTATTACAATTTTAATAGTTTTTTCCTTTCTTAAAATGTGTACACACTTTTTGGGCACCCTCTGAATATGTTTCTGATACTTGAGTGGCAGACATCTGAAGTGTTTGCTGAAGGTCAGCAGGAAATCTGATGTGGTGGAAAGTTGGAGCATTTCTTCTTCCTTCAAGAGGTTATAATTAAGGAAGGAGTAGACCATGGAGGTCAAAGAAAAGATTTTGTTAACTTTGAAGGTTAACAAAACTCTGGGTCAAATTAAAAAAAATTTTTAAACAGTAATTAGATTATAAAAGCAATAAAAGTTCATGGTAAAAAGTTCAATTGCAGAGAGGAATATGGTAAAAAATAAAAAGTCCTCTTTTCAACTTTCTCATTTCACTCTAAGTGCATTTCACAATTTTCTGTGTGCCTATCAGCATACACTAAGGTATATGTACATCATACATTAAAAAAAACCAAAAGAATTATACACATACACGTCCTACAATTTGCTCCTTTCTCTGAACAGCGTATTTTTCTCTTTGTATCTCTTCATGTAAGTACACTTAAACGCACTACATTCTTTTTAACAGCTGGGCAGTATGTCACCATATTGGCCTATAGATTCCAACATGACATGCATGACATTTAGCACTTCATCTACTTAAGCGTATCAACCCCTATTCACCCTAAGTACTGCATGAGATCTGATGACACAGTAGCTTAGGCTAGGTACCTGCCGTAAAGTCTGCCTGAAAGTCAATTCCTTTGAGAAATTAAAGAAAGCTTACTAATAATCAGTCAATTTGCTGCGTCTCTCTACGTAAGAGTTTGCCATCTGGCCTCACCATACCTTTTCAGTCTTATCATGCACTAGACTCCTTTAGGGTCCCCTTACAGGAGGCTGCTTCCTGAGCAAGCTGTGCACTGTCATCTCTCTGTCTTTGTTCATGTGATTTTCTTGCCAAGTCTGCCCCTTCTTTTCCAGGCAAAAATTCTCATGTTTCCAGGGTCTGATGACAATGTTAACTCACAAACTTCTTTCCTCCTCTCCCATAGAGCTCTTCTGTCCCCTAGAAAATGGGTTTTCAGAGCCTTTTGTTTATTATGCAGCTAGGAGTAATATTTACAACGTATTATAGCTTCTGTGTCTGCCTCCTGAACCAGACTGCGAGCACCTAGAGAGGAGATGATTTAGTCATTTTTAGGTGTAGTGCCTAAAATGTACCTAGCCAGGAATTATAAACTATGTTTGCCCAATCTCATTACTGCTGAGAGGGATAAGGGTGGGGGTTCCAGACATCAAAAAAAACCCACTAAGTATTCTGCAGCAAGCACTTGAGATAGAAGAGGTAAGGTTTCCTTCTCTTTGAGATAAGGATAATCATCTTTGTCACACAATAATGCCTAGACCAGAGGTTCTCAATCCTTGCTGCATACCAGACTTAGAGCTTTATAAAAGTACAGGTACTTGGCCCCAGTTATTATTTCAAAAGGAAAGAATCTTTTCATTTGCAGATCTAGTGAACCCCAGACCTAGCAAACAATCTCTGGGGACACACAAACTTTTAAAAAGCTCCACAGGGCCGGCCGAGTGGTACGATGGTTAAGAACTAGCTTGGGACGCCAGAGGGCCCCGGTTCGGATCCCACATATGAGGGCCAGTGACACTGCCCTCCACAGCTAAGATGCTGAACAACAGCTCAACCTGGAGCTGGGCTGCCGAGTCGCCGGCGACGGCGTAGGCTGCAGCCCCTGTGGCAGTGGGTTGCAATGGGCTACCGTGTGTAGCCAGCAGCCAGCATGAGTGGCCAGCAGCCGCCATGAGCGGCCTTCCAGAAGCCAGCGACTGATCTGCCTCGCCCGGGAAGAGCACAATGATGGTGCCAACTTGGGCCAGTGAAGCGATGTCCTCCACAACTAGACTGAAGAACAAAAGGACAGCAACTTGTCTGTTCCCCTTCCCCCAATTGCCCAGCACTGTTCCCATCGCCCCAACTCCCCAATAAAAAAATCTTTAAAAAAAAAAGTCTGGAGATAGGCAGTCATTCCTGCGGGAATCATTATTTGATCTCTTCTTCTCTCCGCAAGGAAGTGCTTCATGTCTTGAGCGTGCTGGCTGAATCCCACACTAGCAGACCTCTTTGGCCACCTCACAAAGCAAGTGGCAGCATTAAATCGGCCCATTTCCTTATAAGTGCTTGTGTGCACCAGGATTTTTCGGTTTCAAGAACATAAAGGCCAGAAACATGTTCAATATTATCTTTCTTGCCCTCAGTGATGATTAGAGGTGGGGCTTTCTTTCCATCCAAATTGGAAAATACAGGTAACACGTGCACTTTCGTAACCAGTGGAGGGAATGTAGATTGACGAGGCAACCCTCTGATCAACTGTCGTTCGAGATCCTTAGCCCATAAACACTGCAGTTTCATCCACAATCATGTTGGAGAGCTGGTATTTAGAAAAGACGATGCCATCAACAAAGGACTTTGAATGCAAGTGCATGTTTAATAACTTCAGTACCCTCCAGCTTGAACAGTGTTGTCGATCTTCTCACCTAGAGACAGTTCATATCGCTGAAGGAAGCCATCCAACCAGTGTGGTGATGCTTTGAATTCCTCTGGGGATATTTCTAACTGTGGTGCCACTGCAAGGGCAAATGCTTGAATATCAGCCCTGTGCACAACCAAAGCCTTTGCTCTCCTGTCAGCAATCCATTCACAGATGATGTCTTCCAGCTCAGGAAATAATGGTTGCCGACCTGATCCACACTTGCGCTTCTTAGCATTTCCCTCGTCCATCTGTTGACTGAGGTTATCATACTCTGCTCGCCATTTTCAGACCATTCGGAGACCCAACTTCTCTTTGCAGAAAGATTCTTGCTCTGGGAGTCCTCCACGATTCCTTTCTTGTATTCAACGGAATAGCTCTTTCTTTTTGCACTCATCTTGTCTGGGGGTCAAAATATTATTCCCTTTAATCTACCATTAAATCAAGTGCTAATTGAAGACTTATGAGACAGAAGTGACAACAAAAATGATGACAGTTAAGAATGACGGTCCAGGGGCCGGCCAAGCGGCTCAGTTGGTTAAGAGTTGGCTTAAGAGTGTGAGCTCTGAGCAACAGGGCTGCTGGTTCGATTCCCACATGGGCCAGTATGCTGCGCCCGAGCTGATCTGTCGCTGAGCTGCCAACAGGTGGCAGGGTAGCTCAGCTGGTATAACAACAAGATTGCCTGTTCGATAGTGGGCTACATCCACCCGCAACTAAGACTGAACTCAGCACCTTGAGCTGAGCTGCTGGGTTCAACTCTCGCATGGGATGGTGGCTACACTCACCCGCCACTAAGATTGAGCACAGCACCTTGAGCTTAGAAGCCACGAGCTGCCGACGGGAAGCCAGATGGTGACTGGCATCCTCCACAACAAAGACTGAAGAACAACAACTTAGCTGGTCCCCTTCCCCAATTCCACAACACTGTTCCCTCCCCCAATTCCCCAATAAAATCTTAAAAAAAGAAAAAAAATGATGGTTCACACAAAAGTGACAAAAAATTGCAGGCACCAATATTCAGAAAACGTTTTATTTTACACGAGTGCATTAAATATATCCGTTACAACACATGATGTATTGAATTATGAAAATTCATATTAGACACAACCATGTCCATTCATTATCAAGTGTGCATGTTATTCATGCATTGTGTCTGTACTCTGATTGGTCATTGGGTAAGTATTGAGTTCATCTGTTTACATAGGCGTTTACCTCTCGTCCAAAGGCACCCACTTGGGTATTTCCAAATACTTAATTATAATTATATTATCATTAATTTAAGTATTAACGTCAATAATATTTATTTATATTTAATTATATATTAATATTACTATTTTATTATAATTCAATATGTCCGTCATGTGTTACAACGGATGTAATAAATGCATCCGTCTGGCTGACAATCTTAACGGGTTTATTTTTGGGGTAGGGCTTATATTATGAGCATCCAGAAAAATCATGCTAGGGTTTATTTTCCAGTTAGGTCTTATTTTCAGGGAAATACAGTAGTTATCATATTCGTCCCTATACAACTAGTTCACTTGTTAAACTATAACATTAATAAAAAAAATGTTAAAGAAAGCAAAAACCAAAAACCAAAAATAAAGGCATCAATGACTTTACATAAATAGACTTTAAAGACCCCTCTGGAGTCTAGTTCCTCTTACAACATCTTACACAAGACGAACTAAATAAGTCTTAGAAAAATGAACATATATTCTGTCTCACCTTCAACTCCCACTACCTTAGGCCTTGATGGCTAATGTAAAATGAATCTTTAACCTTGAATTTCAAGCTTATTTCTGTGTATCTATTGATAACATCAGGATTCTTTTGGCTGGCAACAGTGCTTGGACAATTTTTGCTCTTGGTTCAGTCACTTTCTTCACCACTATCCCTGTCAATTCATGGTTGTTACAAAATCCACATTCATGACTTTTCCAATATCTTGTTCTTCAGTTTCCTGACCTTCTACAATAGCCTTGTCCTTTTACTCACTTAAGCCATGTCCTCCTTCACCTTATTACCAATACGTGTAAATCCTCCATTATTTCAATTTCAGTCACCACCTATTTTCCCAACTCCCTTTAGCACTCCAATTCCAACCACCTTTCATCCCCGGGGGAATTTCTGTTCATTGATCTTACCCCTTTTACACTGTCCCTCAGCCCTATTATATCTTCACTTCCCTCCTCACCCAATTTAAATCCTGTAGTCAATCATAACTCCTTGGCCCTCCTTTAACTCCATCATACTTGTGAATCTAAACCACATCCCTGGTTAAATCCAGCAGTCCACTTACAGTGTACCTGTACCTATGCAGCAGACACAGAGCCTTGCTGACTGCTTTCAGTGAATGACTACTGGCCTCAAGCTGACTTACTGCCCCACAATCCTATTTCATGGCTCATTTGCTCTTCTATTCTCTACATGACTATTTTAGACTAAATTTTCCTCAAATCTCTGCTACCACATACTTATTTCTAGTTGATGATCCTGGTTCCCAATGTCACTAAGAAAACTGAAGCTATCAGAACAAAAGGGAACTTCTACAAGTTCTGCCCATCCCATCTATCCACCTGCCTTCACTGTGCTTATACATTCTGCCATTTCTCCAATTACTGTGGATGAGTTATCCACACTCCTGGTAAAGCCTACCCCTCTACTTGTGTATTAGTTATCATCCTCTCCCACTTACTTTGAGGGCATTGCTCCAGAAAATTTCCCTACATCAATTCCCCCGCTCTCTACAGGATCCTTCCAATCACATACAATGCATTACATTCCTATTTAAAAGAAAACAGACAAACTTCAACACTGCTTCTAACTTAGCTACCACCTCATTTCTCTGCTTTTCTTTCTAGCAAAACTCCTTGAAACAGCCTTCTGTACTTGTCTCCAAGTTCTCTTCTCCCACCCTTCTGAAACACCAGACCACCGACACTCCACCAAAGCTGCTCACATTAATGTTACCAAATAACGCCCAAATTGCCAAAACCTAAGGTCAGTTTTTAGCCCTTACTGCATGTGGCATGCCAAAAACATTTAACTAAGTTCATTCCTCTCTCCTTCATTTACTCAGCTTCCAAGACACAATACTCTCCTGGTTTTTCTTCTTCTTCTCTGGTTGTGCCTTCTCCTTCACCTCTCCAACCTCTAAACATGGGGGATCCCAAGGCTCAGACCCCAGATCTACTCTCTATCACATCTTCTGCGATCACTGTGTTCCAAGTCACCATCATTGCTTCCTGGGTTATTCCAATGGATTTTAAAATTAGCTTTCTGTTTTTACCCTGATCCCTTTACAATGTTTTCAACAAAGGAGTAAGAATGATCAAGTGAAGAAAAGCCAGATCATGATGCCCCACTATTTAAAATCCCCTGACAGCTTTTTGTCTATCGGAATAAAAGCTAAAACTGTATAAGAACCTCATTTCCCACTACTAGTTCCCTCCCTCTCCTTTCCTCACTCCGGTCTCAGGGGTCCAGGCACATCAGCCTCTTTAAGGAACAGAAAATATGCCAGGCCTGCTCCTGCTTCAGGGCCTTTGCACTTGCTGCTCTGTCTGTCAAAATAGCCACCTGGCTCACTACTTCCTTTTCTTGACTCACATGTCTCCTTTTCATTGAGGCTTCCCTGGGCACCTAATTAAAAATTTTAACAGCATACTTTGCCATTCTCCCTTTCCTGTTTTCCTAAACATTGATGTTACCTGATAAGGTACATATTTTACTTCTTTAACTTGTTTATTGCCTCTCACACTAACATGTAAGCTCCATTTATATCTTTGGGATTTTGATTCTTTTGTTTATGGCCGAATCCCCAGCAACTTAGAGCAGTGCCTAGCACATAGAGTGTTCAAGAAATATTTTAAAATAAATCCACCACTGTGTTGTGGTGCCTTGTGCAGATGGTAGACATAGTAGTACTCAGAAAATATATACTGAAAAGAAGGGATGTCAAGAAGATGGTGCTTTTCTTTAAAAACATACCAAAATAACATCAAATCTAGCCTATCACTCTGTATTACACAACTACACCAATCAAACCATAAATAATGTAGAAAAATGTACGAGATTCTTACCTGGGTCAGCTCTTGCCTCTTTTTTCTTCTGAGAGGCCCAACCGACTATGGAGAGTTTATCTCCTGATTTCTCCTCTAAGCCTCTATTCAAGCGCCAGATTTTCAGTGTATTGTCATCAGAGCAGGTAGCAATCTAAGGAGAACCAGGAAGGGAGTTAACAAGTTTCAATCAAAGATTCCCAACAAAATAAAAAGTAAAGGCTCATGACTAGAAAATTATTTTGTTTGATACAACCGTATATAGAAAATGGTATCTGAAAGAACACCTATTTCTTTCTATTACTTGCTTTCAGAAATCATTGCAGATTTTTCTAAAGAAGTGGATTCCCCAGTTTCTTCTTTATATACATCTTGCTGGTATGTCTTTCGTTTCCAGTCATTTCTTACCTAAAGCTCTACTATAAATCAGGTTCACTTCATTTTATTCTCAAAAAGTTGGGCAAGTCATTATCTTTTATCACCTTCTATATAACTATGAAATAATTAAGATACCCTTTTTACTCTTTCTTTTAAATGATCAGTGTATGTCACTGGCATTCAATTTCTATGACTTTCTTCTGAATTCTGCATGTTCTGGCTTACTGCTGAAGTAATGGTATCATTTCCAAGATTAGACTTAGTCCACAACTCTAGTAGGCTGGAACAAGTAGAATGAAACCACTCCTTTGCGATTTTTTCCCCCCACATAGGTATAGGAGCAATCTGGGAAAACAACAAATTCACTGGGCTGATAGAAGTTAAAAATAACTTTTGCCCCTTTAAAAATATCTGACCATTTCTGATCTTGGTCCCAAGCCTTTTATGGCAGAGAAAGTCCAGCTTGAAGAGCTTGTGGCAAATGGCCACTGGTACCAGAGCTGTTCCCCAGCATTTGTTTATATAATTCCTCTATTTCAGTCACTAAAGAGATAGAAAAAAAGAACACACGTTCTCTTAAGTTTTGGCCCCCAAGAGACTGGCAGCTTTTTCCTTTCCTTACTGGGAGGCCAAAAGAAGACACACATATTTAACTGCTTAACAAGAAATGCTTGGAATCCCGTTACTCTACAGTCTATTAACAAGAGTTATTATTATTATTATTATTATTTTAATTTTTATTTATTTATTTTTTTTTTAGCTGAGCCATCCTGCCACCGGTTGGCAGCTCAGCGGCTGCTCAGCTCAGGCCGGGACTTGAACCGCTGTTGCTCAGAGCTCAAACTCTTGAACGAGCTCTTAACCAACTGAGCCACTCGGCCGGCCCAACAAGGGTTATTATTTATCGAGTACCTATTGTGTATCTGACAATTTACATTCTTTATCTTACTTAATTCCCACAATATAAAAAGCTTTGTACTCAAATAATCTCATCTATAAAATGAGAATAAAGTTATTTGCCCCAGGTCACCGTAATTAAGTAGCAGCGCTAGTAGATCCAAATTTTTCCAATTTCAAAGGCTACATCATTTATTTTTACCTTCTTAACTCTAGGCTAGGGACAAATTTATTTTTAAAAACTTTAAAAAAAAGTGATCATTAGATTAGTAGAGGTAAACAGTCCTACTACTTCCACTGAGTCTTTTCTGTGCATAGAAATAGGGACAACATATGGTTGCAAAGATGTGATGTGATTAACTGAATAATTAAAAAACCATTCATCTTAGTAAGTTCTAGGAAGATATAGAACTCCATGTTAAAAGAAGGTATTTCACTGGAAGCTACATGGAATCTCAGAGGAAAAATGTAAAAAAAAAAAATGTCATTGGTGTAATATCAATGTAATTACTGATAATTAAAGCAATGATTTAAAAAATGTCTATCATGAAGATAAGCACAGAACAGTTATACAGGTATACAGAAACAAAAAAAAATCCACAGCAGTACTGGAGAGCTAGCAGGGATGCCAGGAGTAGACCAGACCATGAGAAGTTTCTGGAAGATAAAAAACAGATGGGAGCAAGAGACAAAACCTTTCAAAATGTCAAAATGAGAAAGAGGAATCTCCACATAAGTGAGATTTCCTATAAACCCAGAATAACCCAAAGACCATAGGCAGTAGGCAGTAGGGGTGGGGAGAGTGAGTAGAACTTGGGCTACTATTATATGAAATCAGGGAGTTTATTTATGTTTCTTCTAACCTTAGATTTTCTTTTTTTTTTTTTTTTTTTTTTAGCTGAGCCATCCCGCCACCTGTTGGCAGCTCACGGCTGCTCAGCTCGGGCTGACTCGAACCGCTGTTGCTCAGAGCTCAAACTCTTGAGCGAGCTCTTAACCAACTGAGCCACTCAGCCGGCCCACCTTAGATTTTCTTTTAACCTTAAATTTTTGGATCAAATTTTAATTACGTGAAAAACTTAATTTTATGTTTAGGAAAGGAACGACTCTAGGGAACCAGAAATCCTTATTCCTTAATGCATAATATAATTTCTCTACTAGTAGACAAAAGTAGAATATGTATAATTAATGCTGACATAGATCCTGGATGGCCTCTAGATCTTTTAAGCATGAAAGTCTATATAACTCGTAAACTAACCTTGGGAAACGCTACAAATCTCTGGTCTAGTTTTTAAGCCAACTATGAAGATTTGTTTACAAACCTTTGTGAAATCTGACGGACACCAGCACACAGATGTGACCTCCTGCGAATGACCCAGGAGCACAGCAGGAGGATGCCAGGGTGTGGAGACCTAGAGCACCATGAAAAGGAAACAAACAAGTCAGCAGAGCAGTGGTAGGACTCCCGGACAGAGGCTCTGAATCTCTCCATATTTGTGCCTTAGAGGTCTTTACGGATGTCACCAAAGACCCCTGGACATGCCTACTTACAGCTCAGAGAATGAGTCCCAAAGGACAATGAAAGGACTTTTGTCATTGATATAACAGAAGGAAAATAGCCAAAGTAAGTAATTAATGAGCTTCAGATACCAGTGCAGGTCTCATTTCAAATCAGGGCTATCTAGCTATACATGTTTTGACTAAAATTCAAGACTGGCGTTGTGCCTCACCCCTTAGCTGGTAAACTTGATGTAAGGATGAGGTTCAGCTGCTGGGCAGTGCACTTCAAGGGGAGTCCTGTTTTCACATAGCCCAGACATTTTCAGGTCCTCCCGAGCCAGCTACTTCCAGGAACACTACATGAACGAAATCCTGAAGGTACCTGAGACATGCTACCAGCTCTCTTGGGACAAAAGGACAGTCTTTCTTCCAGAAGATTCACTGAGTTTTACCAAAGTCCAAAGTTATACCCCCCTTCATTTTGAAGGATATAAACTATATTTTATGTGGTACTTTGGTATCCTTTCCGGAAGAAAAACTCCTCTAAAATTTTATTTGTTAATTTGCTTAAAGAAATCTTGAATTTTCAAATAACTATTGCTACATTTTAATGTATAATATAAAAAGAAAGGTCACATTGTGCAATACTACAAATGTAACTAAGAATCCTATCTTCCCCCTCACTGTAGGCCACTGGTGATATGCATTTGACAGCTGTCTGACTCAGAGCTGTCAATCCCTTTTGGAGGCAATGGGAATTAATCAGTACAAGATGGAATACAAACTCCCATAACTATTATTAGCATGCATGTTTGAAAAAAAGAAATGATTCTCTTTTCATTTTCCTAAGGCTCTGAATCACTGTTCACTTATATGAAGACAGTGGGGGCGACTCTGGAAAGAATATTTGTGAGAATGACTAAGTAAACTTAATAGATTCCTCAGATTGTAGTTAAGAGATTTGACGTACTGATTCATAAGGTTAGTCAGCTCAATTATTACTACTCTTCTCTTGGGTTAAATGGCACATAAGTAATGATTCAAAGCAAAAGAAGACAAAAGACAGAGTCTAATTTGCTTTGCTGGGTTAATTAAAGCTTAACAGAAAAGGAATCTTTTGCTGAATAGCATCCTAAAGGGTCTCACTTACGGCCTATTCCTAAAATGCCACAGAGAATAATTTATTCTCTCAAGAGGTAGCATATTTTAGAAAAAACTTCCGAGATTCTCTTCATCTCAACAGTCACAGAAATTCTCCTTCCTGCTCTATTAATGGGCCCCAACCCATTAAGTTTCTATTCACCCAAAGCCCAAGCAGGGCTGATAGCAGCAAGTTAAAAGGAAAAGGAAATCCTCCTAGCCTCCTGACACTCCCTGGTAGAAATACATTATTCTACTCCATTCACTGGTTTGCTCTGCTTGTTGCCTCTAGCTTTTCACTTCATGATACTGTCTCTTCCTCAGTTTCCTAGGCATTACAATACCCAGGAGAATGTACATGTGTACACAAAGATTAAAATAAATTTCAAGGAAAACCAAACATCCACCAACAGCATGTATGTACATTACTGCATTTATCTACAGGATCTAAGAGAAAAACAAAGGCTAGATCCCTTGAAAAAACTTTTTACAATTTGGTAATAAGGTAGGAATAATAATGACAATAAAAGTCAGCATTTGTTGAATAATTACCATGAGCCAGGCACTTTACATAGCATTAAAAGTGGGGGGAAGAGTCCTCAAAAAGTTAAACATAGAATTAATTACCATGTGACCCAGCAATTCTAATCTCCCAGGAGAATTGAAAACACATTCAAACAAAAACGTGTACATGGATGTTCATAGAAGCTTTACTCGTGAAGCCAGAAAGTGGAATAATCCAAATGTCCACCAACTGATGGATAAATAAAACGTGGTCTATCCATACAATAGAATAGTCAGCCATAGAAGTGAATGAAGTACTGAGACATGCCACAGTGACAACCTAGAAACATTATGTTAAGTGAAAGAAGCCTGACATAGAAGATCACATACTGTATGATTCCATTTATATAAAATGCCCAGAATAGGAAAATTCAGAGAGACAGAACACAGGTTAGTGGTTGTCAGGGACCAGGGGCTCAGGGGAATGGAGAGGAACTGTTCAAAGGTATGGAGTTTCTTTTTGGAATGATAATGTTTGGGAATGAGATAATGGTGATGGTTGCATAATATTGTGATTATACAAAAAAAAATCACTGAATTGTACACATTAAAATGACTAAAATGAATTTTATGATATGAATTCTATCTAAATTTTTTAAAAATGGAGGTAGGGGCTTGTTGTAGGCTGAAATGAGAACTAATATCCAATAAGTTTTTATGAACATTAGTAACAAGTGTTTTCACAGGTTACGACTATCCTATATGGTATAGCATACTTGGTGAGTACTTCAAAGATTAATTTCCTCTAATAAAACTCAGGCAGCTTTTAAATCCTTCATTTTTATTCAAATAAATTTTTATTTATTGTCACTGTATTATAAAAACATTACCATAATTACATGATTTCACTTTTTTAAAAGCCTGCCTCTACTTTTTAAGTAGGAAGAGGAGACTATTAAGTCCAAGAGGTATTTACATCTACGCATTCTGGGGATGGTCAAAATAACAGAAAATTGTCCTCTTACATATTCGACTTGTTATGAAGACTTTAATTCAAGGCATAAGAATCCCAAAGTTAAACTCCTAGAACTATGAAGGTACCTCTAGAAGTGACTGGCTCTAACTTACAGCCCTCACAAAACATTTTATATCCTTAAACATGCAAAAAAGATCAGAACCTTTCCTCAAAAAAATCTCCTTACTCTGCCCAGTTAGAAACCAAATCTAATCTTTATTTCTGTTGAGATCATTTACACTTTCTCAAGTGTCAGGCTCAATGTCTTGCAGTCAGTGATAGAATGACTGTGCCTAATAAGTTTATTTATAACTACTTCAGTACTATTCAGTGGCTAGATCGGAAATGAAACAGGGAAGGGGGGAAAGGGACAAGGGTAAGAAATTAAAAAAATGTACATAATATTAAATCTTTTTATTTTAAGTCTTGGGCCTCAGTATCACCTCCCCTTTTCTAGGCAATGAGGAGGATTAAAAGACCATTCTCTCGTGTCTTAAGATCTAAAACTCCCTTCTTTCATTCTGTCTTTCTGTGCCCATGGACTTTTCAGCGTAGAAAAAATCCCAACACTTGAGTGAATTCTGACTACTTGGAAATGTAGCAGTTATAAGACAACCGAACAGCCTGGATACTCAGCTTGTGTGAAGCTGTTTTTAAATCTGATTCCCGCCCCACTTTTATTTATCATGGTAAAGAGAAACTGAGCCATCTCACTAGGCAAATTCAATTTTAGGAGCAGTAAGCTTGCCAGGATCTCAAATATCAGAGTCCGCACACTGAGTTATGTGTGGACAGGCAGGAGAACATCATGTCTGAACCACGTCATTCAGCACTAACATGTGACCCAGCCCAGGAATTCGGGATTCAGAAAGGGTCACCCATGTATGTGATAGCCACTAATTAGAGAACTGAACGTGGGTTCCTAACAACAGTCAAGTATCTTTACTGCATGTCTTTAAAGAGAGGATGTACCGCTCAACTCTTACTCCCTGAAACAATAAGGAAAAGGCCTTGTATTAAGAGAAGAGGGCTAGGAAGGAACTTTTGTAAGAATTGGCAATAAAGCTGAAACTATATCTGTACACACACACACACACACACACACACACACACACAATATAATTATATACATAATTATGTATATAATTTAGAAACTGATTTTAAATGACTCTAAAAAATTATCAGTGCAGAATTATTTTTTGGATAATCCTTCATTAGGCTTTTTGGTCTGTCTAAAATTTTTTTAAAGAAGGAAACTTAAAAGATACAGCCTTCGGTAGGTATAAAAACTTCCTGCTAAGTTGGGAGCCAAAGTTAGAGAAAGGAACATAGCCACGACAGTGAGGGAAGGAGAAAGGAAAAACAGAAAGATAGTAAAATAATAAGCCTAAGACCCACCCTGAAACTCAAAATTTTAAATATAAGACAGAAGCTTTAGTACTAGTGACACATATTGTTAAAGTTTAAAGCTCACGTCTGAAGAATTTTATAGATAAGAAGTTAGGTAAGAACTCATCACTAGATGGAAGGCTTAAGTATGTCTTATAAGCAAATTTCCATTAAAAAATACAACAAATAAAAGAAATATTGTAGAAAAAAAGGCAAATCAACCCAAAAGCATCTTGGATAGGACAACATCTCCACCTTGTGACCATCTAGGATATTGTTACTAAAAACTTTAAATAAGGCAGTGTTGCATTTTTGCAACTCTAGGTATATAATTATCATTTTATAGCACTTCTCCCAGGGACAGATGAAATTAAGCTGAAGAATATGCTTCATACCCGATAGGTTCTATACTTATCCTAAGACAATATTAAGGATATGGCTTCCTAGATGTTGGCAGAATTAAAAATGGTTTAATTTTTCTTCTGAGAAGGGATATACTATTGAACCTGTGGGCCTATAAAGTTTCAGACATTATGACTCTAAAATCCAAAATGTGTGAACTCTGATTGTTCAATTCGCCAATGACAAAGACACTTATGAAATTACAGGGCAACCTAGAAGATAATTTCTAGCACTAGAAAAACAAACGCCTTAATGCTCTTCTTTATGTTATTACCATGTTTATTGTTGTATTTTTTTTGTTCTACCTAGCAAATTTTTTATTCGTAAGAGTACAAAACATAGTGATTAGACATTTATATACCTCACAAAGTAATAACCCCAAAAAGTCTGTTACTTATCTGACACTGCACTGTTATTACATTATCGACTACATTCCCCATGCTATACTTTGTATCCCCACGACTCTTTAAAAAAAATTATAGTTGACATTCAATATTATTTTAAATCAGTTTCAGGTGTACAGAATAGTGGGTTAGGCATTTATATAAGTATAAAGTGATCCCTCCAATAATCTAGTACCCACCTCACTATTAGTCACATATATTTTAGTAGCCTGAAGACTGAATCACTTACAAGACAAGAAGAGAGTAAAGAACTGTGACTATACAAATATTCTTGAGTGTTTTATGTAAGTAAGGCTCTATGGCTGATTTGGGTATAGACTACATCCTAGGGATCAAAATATTCTATGTATTTTCTTTTTTTAAAGATTTTTTTATTGGGGAATTGGGGGAGGGGAACAGCGTTGGGGAATAGGGGAAGGGGAATAGACAAGTTGCTGTCCTTTTGTTCTTCAGTCTAGTTGTGGAGGACGTTGCTTCACTGGCCCATGTTGGCATTGTGATCATTGCTCTCTTCCCAGGTGAGGCAGATCGGTCGCCGACCTCTGGACGGCCGCTCACAGAGGCTCTTGGCTGCTCACGCTGGCTGCTGGCTACATACAGTAGCTCATGGCAACCCACTGCAGCAGGGGCTGCAGCCTACGCTGTCGCCTGCGACTCATGGCAGCCCAGCTCCAGGTTGAGCTGTTGTTCAGCATCTTAGCTGCAGAGGGCAGTGTCCCTGGCCCTCATGTGGGATCCGAACTGGGGCCCTGCTGCTTAGAGCTGGTGTCCCAAGCCAGCTCTTAACCAACGCTCCACTCAGCCGGCCCGACTCTATGTATTTTCAATGAGAGTTTGAAAACACAAGGAATAAAGGCATTACAGCATGTTTTTCCAGGGAGCAGGACAAACTAATTATGGTTCTTTCCAGTCTTCTGAATTCTCAATTTCTTGATAATCTGTGAAACTATTGGAGGTTATGGATGGTGAATTTCTAAGAAGTTCTGGCCATGAAAGTGTGATATATTCTGTGACAATCAGAGTGAGGTTTTGCCTACATTAAGAGGCAAAAAGCAACTTTTACTGAATTTCTGATGTAGAAAGTTAATAGCACATGTTTACACTAAACTTACCTTGACTTGGGCCGAAGAAATATTTGCAAGAATACTTTAGTCTCATGTTTGTAGGGGAAGTTTGGCAACTTACCTTCCAGATGTAGGCAGCTTCATCACTTGAGCCACTGATTAAAAACTGGTCATCTGGACTAAGACTGGATTTAACATAAAAGGTAGAGTTCTGATGTCCATTGAAGGTAGCCACTGCCAGAAGAAAAAAATTAAATTACTTGGTTCTTGTTATTTCCAGTGTTTAAATAAAATGTGTCGGTATACATGTTCTGATGAGTTTTATTAGTGTATTGACTACTGAAGCAGATGGTCAAGCTACAGATAAACAGGAACTAGACATTGCCAGAAAATAAAGGAAATCCTGAAAGGAGGCTTTATATTAGACCCCATCTCATGATCTAAACCCAAATCCTTGGTATGAAGCGGGCTATGAAAAACATTCTTAAAGGACAAGAATGGAGCCAATGTCCAGTCTTTTAGTAAAATGGCTTTATTAGGCCCCCTCTCTCCTTCCCAGAATAGGGCTTTTGCCATTGCATAATACAGTGGTCTTTCTGTTAGACTTCAAACCTCTTGAGGATAAATTTTACATATCTTATTCTTTCCTCACTAGACCTAATAGTGCTTTGAATAGATAGTCAAACGTTTGCTGCATGAATAGGTAAAAGTCAGTTTTTAAGTTTATAGATAGCTTATATGGGATGAGGGAATGTTTTTAACACAGCCCTTTAAATAGACTGAAGAGTAGAAGCGGCTAGTTGGGTAAACTATATGTTCATATATAAGATACTCCAACTAGGTTAGGTTTAGACAACTTTAGGTTTAGACTCCTTCCGGGTCCATGGTAAAAGGGCAAGTAATCCAAACCAGCACAATGTATGTGATAGGTTCTTCTAAGGACACCAAAGTTTGAGGTCTCTGGCATCAGAACACTACTAGGAAATAAAAGGAAAAAAAAAAATCTCAGTTGTTAGAGAATTTAAGAATACATTTAGGAAGGAAAAAAAAATTCTCACACCAATCTTCTAACAGAAGAGAGAGAATTATTATTAAGGGACATAACAGCTTTCTATAAGTGCTCAAAGAAATCCCTTCCTTTTACTAGAATAAAACTGGAAAAAAACTTTGCATTTATAGTTTTTCAAGAAAAAGCCTGCATATCAAATACTTTCCACATCAAACACTTTCATTGTGAACTTACGCAGGATATGAATCACTTCAGATACACCTATTATAAACTTACTATGTTTGGGTCTGTTTGTAGCCATGACTTGCGCTTTGCTAAAAGATTGCACTATGAACAAACATGTTTCTAGAAATTATGGAATGCATTCATACTTTGCCAATCAAAAAAAAATACTGGATTAACAGTCTACAATCGCTAAGTTTTCACTAGAAATTAAGGTTTCTAAGGGTTAAAAATTCTAATTAATACATGTAATTAAAACTACTAAAATGATTAAGGTAAACATTATTAGTATGCAAAGAAAATAAAATATGCGTCTTCAATTAAAAAAATATATATATAATGAATGGGAATGCATTTTGTTAAGGGAAAAGAAAGTAATTTTGTCCTAAAGAGAGGTTAAAAAAAAAAAGAAAAAACCAAAAGAGGAAAAAAACAGGACAAAATCTGAATGTAAAAAAGAAAGTTATAGAAGGTTTGTGAAAAAAGGAATCTTGGAAAGAATTTTATGCCTGGTCAAGCTGGCTAAGATTGGAATGAATTTAAGTAAATGAGTTTTAATATTAAAAGTAAGCTGATGCAAAATTAGAAATTGGTTTCCTGTTAAAAGGACTAAGTTCTATTGGACTTTTGGTCTGTTCTTGATAAAGACATTATAAAAGGTTTGTCTTTACCTTTGAGTAATCTATCTAAAAAGTAGGGGTTGTATGTTTTACCTAAATAATCTCTTATGTTGTTTTATCAGGTTTTTTATTACAAGAGCTAAGTTTTACTTCTGTATTTGCCTCCAGAGTCTTTAATTGTCACCATGGTTAAATGAGTATCAAGTATCATTTCAGAGACCTGTGATCCTATTCGACTGAGTGCTTTAAAATCTTTTGATATTTTTCACAAATTTCCCATAATCAAATTCTATATGAAGTCTTTTTAACCTCTACTAAGTTTGTAATTTTCCAGAGGGCCCCTGGGATATATTTCAAAGGACTGTTCTCTCTTTATAAAAAGGGAGGGGTTGGCCAAGTGGCACGCTGGTTAAGAGTTGGCTTGAGACGCCAGCTCTGAACAGCAGGGCCCCGGTTCGGATCCCACATGAGGGCCAGTGACACTGTGCCCTCCACAGCTAAGATGGTGAACAACAGCTCAACCTGGAGCTGGTCTGCCGTGAGCTACCATGAGTGTGCTGGTAGCCAGCGTGAGCTGCTGTGAGCAGCCATCCAATGGCAGGCAAGCAACTGCCTCACCCGGGAAGAGCACAATGATAATACCAACATGGGCCAGTGAAACGATATCTTCCATAACTAGACTGATGAACAAAAGGACAGCAACTTCTCTGTTTCCCTTCCCCGATTCCCCAATGATGTTCCCCTCCCCCAATTCCCTAATAAAATCTCTCTCTAAAAAAAAAGGGGAGACGGGCCGGCCGAGTGGCTCAGTTGGTTAAGAGCTNTCAGCCCGAGCTGAGCAGCCGTGAGCTGCCAACAGGTGGCAGGATGGCTCAGCTAAAAAGAAAAAAAAAAAAAAAAAAAAAAAAAAAAAAAAAAAGAAGTAAAAAAAAAGGGGAGACGTTAAACTAATTAGGCTTATTTGGCACGTTAAATTACATTAGAAACATTGTTAATTAAGTAATGATAAATCTTCTTAAGTTAAACTGCATCGATAAAATATTATTAATGTAAGTGTTCTAAAAATTATATGCAATTTCTTTAAAAAAAAATCCTGGTAATGCTATCAGTCATAATTCTACTCACTATCTTTAAATCTACGTTACAGAAATAACCAAAATTCCTTGTCCATAGCATTGTAATCATGCCATTTTACCATGCCCTTTTAAGTCTTTTGTCATTTACAGACAGTTACTGTTTTACTCTGGTGCTTTTAAAAATGTGCTTCATCTTCAAAGAGATTCATGGAAAGTACTCTAGAACATAGGTTTCTAATAACTTTCAGATCATATTGTAGAACTGGGTAAGAATTTGTAGAACTCTACTGGAGAAATTGATGGCTTCATAAAACTGCTAACAAAATATCAGTATCAAGAGAATTAATTCATGGGACTAAATTAACTGAGAAGATGATTTAATTTTTATGACTTTTTAAAATTTGAAATATTACTGGTTTTTTAATCTTTATTTGCCAGACATACAGACATTTTTTTCCTCCTCAGCTACTTATGACCCACAGCAATTTGGTGAATTATACCTTTCTAAGCAGAACTGAAACATTTTATCTTTTTCTGCCTACCTGATCCCTACAGAATTTGGAAACTGAGTATTCTTACTTCCATGGCAATACAGTTATTTACACAAGTTCACTAAGAATCTGTTTTCTTTGTAACAGGACACAATTGAAAACACTGGTTATATCACCAAGGCTTTGACTAGGATGTAATATTTGAGGGAGACGTGCACAGACTCAGCTATGACCAGACAGCTTTAAGGAACTAAGATTGATTTTATGGAAGCCAATAAAGCCCCCTTGGAAAAATCAGCCTGGTACCTCGCTTACGTAGGGTTCCCAGCAGCCCTACTAGGTAAGCAAGGAAGGTCACTTCCTGGCAGGTGCAGGAACCTCAGGTATTTTGGAGACCTCAAGAAGAGAGGAATTAACCCAAAGCTAAAGGTATTTCAGGCGAAGACTGATGGCAAGTCTTTGGCTTGGCTTCTTAGCCTCGAGGTGCTGTTAAACGTTCAATCTGGAGATTCCTTATGGAAAGTTCGAGCAAAACAGATTTAAAAGAGCCTGTATGATCAACAGCTACTCTTGATGCATTTATGTAAATAATCAGGCCAGGTTTATTGAAACTAGACTTATTCTGCAAGTAAATTAGTTGTAATTTGCTATATTTGATAAAAATGAGGATGACTTTAGAGAAAAATGATTTTGTTTCAATAGAAACTATATTACACACTTGTGGATATTAGATTCTAGTCGTATTAACTGTCTTGGAGGTTTTGTTTTCCACACGTAAACTGGACTGGATCCTGAACTCTAGTTTCCTCAAATATTTGTTTATCAACTCTCCAAACTAACATTTCCAATTTGCCCCCACTTTTGACTTGGAATCATTGAGAGCTAAAGCTGCCCTTTTCCCCGAAGCCCTACAAACTACAGCTGAACAACTTGATATAAACTGAAGAGAGATCACCACAATAGCCCATGTTTAGATAATCTTCATGCCTGTTGTTGTGGAAGCCACTCACAAAGATTATCTGAACACCTGATGACATCATCAAAGACATTTCAAACTGCAAAAGATACTTCAATCCTGACATCTAGAAATCTTCTTCACTGGCTGCTTCCTAGGCTCAGAAACTGGTTTATAATTTCCTCCAATCATTAACTTCTGTTTCCCCAGAAATGCCTTTTATTAAATACCTGAGTTCTTGCTTACACAATACAGGCCTAACTTGGGAGACCACCTGCATCACTGCCCCCTATAATGAATTTAACTGGACTATTGTCAGGACTAATAGACTGGTTCAATGCAATGGAACAATCTACCAACTCAGCTTCTGGACTGTGAAATGTCTATTTGGCATGAGGATTAATTTAGGCTGATTATTTCTAAGAAACAGAAGACTCCGTAAGTTTTTCTTGTTACCTCCCCATTAACTGCCTAACAGAATTTAGATAAAGTGCCTGTTCCTAGAATAGAGCTATCACCAGAGGGATCTATAAAGAATATGGACTAGGTATGGTGGTGGGGGGAAAGCTAGCGATCAGAGTGCTCTGTGTCCCACTGTCTCTGTATGGCCCAGCAAACATTTATTTACCAAACATTTGCTTTTCCATCTCTGTGTGAATTGCCTTCCTCTCCTCTGAAGTCCCAAACCACTATCCCTTTCTCCTTAGCTCAAGATGGCATACAAGCTCAACTGCCCGGTTTGTCCTTTCCCTCTGCCTCATATTCCTGTGGAAACCCTTTATGTACAAAATTAAACTGAACGTTCTCCTGTTAATTGGTGACATGTCAATTTAATTCTTAGGCCAGCCAGAGGAACCTAGAAGGGTAGAGGAAAATTTCTTCTACCCTGACAATAAATAAACCCCCCCAAAATAAACAAGCTCCTTTATTCTGAATACAACTCCATTACTGTAACTGTTCATCTTTCTAAGTATTTATTGCCCTCTGCTGGAGTAAGAAAAGCTATCATAAAGTACACTAATCTTCAAATCATGCAAAAAATAATTCTAAAACCTACACTGGCTTTAATTAGCTCAATTTAATCTTCTTTGACAACTTGGGCTCTTAAAATGCTTCATTAAAGAGTTTCAGAGCCATCCTTATGAGCGTCACTTAGTATAATACAATATTGTGAATGAAAAGTAGGGAAGATAAAGATTGAGCCCAGAAGCCTTTTTAAAAGTTTTGAAAAAGACAAGTAATTACCAGATATAATTATTCAATTACTGATGAATAAAAATTATTCAATTTTTAAGGAATGCTATCTATCTATCTATCTATCTATCTATCTATCTATCTATCTATCTATCTATCTATCTATCTATCTATGAGAGCCAAATGAATTATTTTAGTAGCACAGGAAAAAGTGACCTTGGGCATATCAGTTTGATGGCAGAGGGACAAACTGAACTCAAGGTTCCTTTTAGTGTCACACTATAACAAAATGGTAACTAAGTTAGAAGTTGTCTTTAAAAGTTGTGGTTTCATTCAGGAAAATAGCAAAAGAAATTATAAACCTCTTCCCTTTTCCAAATACTCTTGTTCTTGTTTAGATAACACCAGACCTACTCGTCTTTCAGGAGATTGGAAATGCCAATTGTGATATTGCCACAGATATCAAAGTCCTAATCATGGCTTGGGGGAAGTCTTTGGAAATTTCTAGAAGAGCCCTGTAAAGTTCTGTACCCTTTTGAGATTTCTTGTTTATCAGTACACCTTACTTTAGTGGGAACTGGATAGATCTGGGGATTGGTTATAGAATTCAAAGTCTGTTTCTGACAGAGCCATACCTGAGGAAGAACCAAGTTACCAATACGTAGCTTGCTTGAGTAATTAATAATGTTCTTAAAATTATGTAACCCAAATAGCCCTCTTAGAGTGTGCTAGAGAAACTTTGGTTTCTTTTTAAAAATGTCACTTATCAGCTTTAAATATCAGATTTCACTTTTAATTTTCTTGAAGGAAAAAAAGGGTGAGGATGGGGAAAGTATAAAAAATAGCCTCTGTCCAACACTGAGAAGGCTGAGGTAGGAAGGAATTATTTTGGGGGCTTAAAAAAACTCAGCCCCCTAAATTAATGAACCCCGAAACAGGACAAGAGCTGAGTAGAACAGCCTTCTCTATCCCACAAAAACTGAGGTAATTCTAAATATAGCCAAAGGGGCATAATTTCGGGAGAGACTCGCTATTACAATAAAAGTCACCATACAGAGGAGGATTCTATTTATACTTGTGAAATCATCACAAGGAAAGTACACCTATAAAACACCACTAGGACTAATCAAAGACCCTAACATCCTCACATCTTAATAAATTTGGCTTAGAAAAAAAAAATCAACATTAAATTATCATTAACAAAAAAGTCTGTATTAGTTTCTGGGTAACAATTTGAATGACTAAGATCTTACCTGGAGAAGTCTTTAATCCAGTCATATTGAACATGTAGATGTTGTCATCTGTGCAGTTAGCAAATAAAGTAGAGCCTGTGGAATCCAGAATCAGACTTGAATATCCTGGAAAAAGGAAACTGCAGTTAGCAGCATGTCCTGATGACAGTGAGAAGAAATGGGCTAAAAATGCTGAAGCTAAAAGATCATTCCATAAAAAGAATCACCAAAATTCTTCTTCCCCAAAATACATACAAACCAAAAATATTCGTTTTTATCTTTTGAACTCCAAAAAGATACGACATAGTAGAGTTCTTAAGTCTATGCTGCTGAAAACTAGCTTGATATTTATTTTAAAATTTTAACAAAAACTACTGTCTCCCAAAAAGCTCTACAAAAAAGTCCTAGTCTGTGAAAAGGCTTACCTAGTTTTCGGCTGCTGCTACCTGGGTATAGGAAAGACTTGGATGCTATGGGTTCTTGTCGATAAGCAGTATAATTTTTACGTAAATCCCATATTTTGATTACCCTAAAAACCAAAGTAAAGAAATGGTTATTTTGTAGTCCTTCTCCAACCCCAACCAGTTTCAAATATATTGAATGTGAAATGACTTTTAATCTAACTCCTTTGGCACACCAGCCAGGTAAAGTAAGGATATCTCATTGGGAAAAAGACTGAGTTATATCTCATACTGTTGTCTCTAATGTCAGGCTTACAATTCTGGCAGAACGGAAACAGATGTGATCTGACCCAGTGAAGGGTTACCTTGAGTTTATTTCAAGGGAGCGGATAAGGAAGATGAAGGTTGGGTGCTGATAGTCATTGTTTCATTGTTTGCAGAAAAAAACCCCACTTCCTAAGCCTTTAACACTCTCCATGTAAGCTTTGACAGCAAAAGTAACAAGCTCTGTCCCCATGGTTATATCTCTATGTATAACTCCTTAAGTAATCTAAACAAATTTTCCTGTGAAATAAATTATTTTTTTTTTCATTTCATCAATTGGGGCAATTATCTTAATCCTCTATACCTAGTTTGTAGGGAACTAGAAAACACAAGCTTGGTGTAATAAGGCGGTATCCTTAGGAAAAAAACAAAAGCAAGCTCTCACAGCCATTCACAAGCACAACTGGTAACTTTTACATAATCCTTCAATCGTGCCTGAGAAATTTCATCCTCAGAAGCATTTTAATGTCCAGAGGACACAATGGAAATCCTAGATTATTAAGTCATCATCTTTTTAAATTACATTTTTTGAAGGGATGGATGTCTTGGGAGATACAATGAGCAAATAAGGTAGCAAAGAACAGTACTTAAAAAAAAGAGTCCCGATACTCAACTAACTTATATTCTAACAAAGTAACCTATCAAGAAGTACCACAAACTAACCTGGAAGCCAAAAATTCAGGCCAATTATGGATGGCAGGTAAGTGAAAGTCATTAGGTCTACTATCAATCTAAATAGAGTACTCCCAGAAATGTTAATTTCATGTTCAGACTCGAGAAGATAAAATCCAAGGTAACAGAAATTTCACTCCTCGAAATAACAATAATTAATTAAAATATACTGAATAGACAACCAAACTACCCATCCAGCGTCTACCCAATAGCAGCAGCCAACACTGCTCATATGTGCTACAAAATATGCTAAGTGTGACGCATGTATTATCTCATTTAATTATTTCAGGAGAGTCCTAACTAGATCTTTCCCAATGTGATCTGTAGCTTTTCTTCTCAGCTGGGCTCTCAATATGTTGGAAGTTAAAAGCACACATTCAGTCATAATGGGACAAGGTGATTTCTCCATCGCAGTTCATGAAAGAGATATCATCAAAATAACCATGGAAAAAATTCTTTACCCATCCACGGCTCCTGCTGAGACTAATGTATTCTCATCTTGAAAAAGGACCACAGTAACACTCTGTTGGAAATCCTAATAGTACAAGGAAGAAAAAGAAAAGAAGGAAATCCTATTTCGGATATCAATCTTCACCATCAAAACACCAAGGAGCTAAAATGGCTCCCTCCCCTGCCAAATTCTGAGTTAGGTTAAATTTTCCCTCTCCAATAATCCTAATCAGATAGATATATATGCTGGCCAAGAAGTACATTTTAGCTAGGAAATAACCTAAACTACATTAAGTTGTAGTATACAGAGTTAACACTTTGACTTATAGTCAAGAAAGAAATTGGTGATCAAAAGATTTAACTGGCTCTACTGGCTCTACTTAGAATCAGCCCCACTAATAAGCTCTGTATCCTTAGGAAACTCATTTAACTTCATCTATAACATGTCGCTGTCTACCTAGATTACCATATAAAAGTATCTAAAGAATTATTGATGAAAAATGCTTACATGTTCTGAAAAATTTAAAGGTGCTCAATGGAGGTTTACCTTCTAATGGCTGTTAACAAGTTTTCTTGGCTCAGAATCTGATTAAATGACTGAAATATCACTCATTTTAAATCATCTGGCCTCCAAAGACTTCATGCTAACCCTATCAATTTCCCTCATACCTGTGTCCTGATTCGTGATAAGCTATTTTAAGTCCTAATGTTTTGGTAACCATACCGCCCCAAAATATTAACTTGGATCCTACAGACCAGGAATATTAGAAAAATAAACACATTACAGTAAGAGCAACAGTGATTATTTTTAAGAAAAAAGATGTACTAGGGCCGGTCAAGTGGCTCAGTTGGTTAAGAGCTTGCTCAGGAGTGTGAGCTCTGGGCAACACTGGTTCAATTCCCGGCCTGAGCTAAGCTGCCGCTGAGCTGCCAACAGGTGGCAGGATGGCTCAGCTAAAAAAAAAAAATGTAGGGCCAGCTGAGTGGCACGTTGGTTAAGAGCTGGCTTGGGATGCCAGAGGGCCCCAGTTCAGATCCCACATATGAGGGCCAGTGACACTGCCCTCTACAGCTAAGATGCTGAACAACAGCTCAACCTGGAGCTGGGCTGCCATGAGTCACTGGCTAGGCATATGCTGCAGCCCCTGTAGCAGTGGGTTGCCATGGGCTACCGTGTGTAGCCAGCAGCCAGCGTGAGCAGCCTTCAAGCCGCCGTGAGCGGCCATCCAGAAGCCAGTGACTGATCTACCTCGCCCAGGAAGAGTGCAATAATGGTGCCAACTTGGGCCAGTGAAGCAACGTCCTCCACAACTAGACTGAAGAACAAAAAGACAGCAACTTGTCTGTTCCCCTTCCCCCAATTCCCCAGCGCTGTTCCCATCCCCCAATTCCCCAATAAAAAAAAAAAATCTTAAAAAGAAAAAAAAAAGATGTATTATGGGCATTGTTTGATCTTTGACCAACAGATAATAGAGAGAGGTACTGCATTCTATCCAAATATTTCTCAGTATATTTAATATTTTGCCAAGTTAAAAAAAAACACATAAAAAAACTCCCATCTTTTCTGTAGTTTGTTATGAAAACAGAGAGTCCTTCTCTTCATAGAAAACTGTATGATGACACCTAATATTCAAACTATCCCCACTTTCCTAATGTATCACATTAACTGTGGATAAGTGTATGCATGGAGATACCTAAGGATGAGGCCCAGGAAGCTGAACTTTTAACATGCCCCCACGTTACTCTGCTGCACTCTAAATCCTGAATAAGCATTAAGCAATAAACCCACTGACATCAAGAGGAAATGAAGATTCTCATTCACTTAATCTATAGCTCCTATTTTACGTCTAACACATTCCCTAAAATGAGATTCTGTCCCACTGCTAAGATCTGCACACACGTATACAGCTATAAAACCTTACCACAGAAGGAGCAAGTCCTTTTGAATTCTGTTTCTTCTTAGGTTTTGAAGGGGTTTGCTTGTCTAAGGTATTATGAGCTCCACTGATTTGATTCACTTGCCTATAAAATCCATCTGAAAGATATTCCAAGGAAATTGATTTAGATTTCACAACTTTATTCCTATGCTGAATGTAACATTTATACATAAGATCTCAGAAATTAATATTCTTTATTAGTGAAATTAGAAGCCAGCAGAGCTACTGCACTACACATCTTATGCTGAGATTATAATGTATAAAAAGGAAATAAGCACATGGATGTTTTATAGCAGCTTTATTCATAACTGCCAAAACTTGGAAGCAACCAAGATGTCCTTCAGTAGGTGAATGTATGAATAAACTATGGTACATCCAAACAATGACATATTATTCAGTGCTACAAAGAAATGAGCTACTAAACATGAAAACACATGGAAGAACCTTAAATACATATTGCTAAATAAGAAAAGCATTCTACAATTCCAATGATATGACATTCTGGGAAAATCAATACCATGGAGAGAGTAAAAGTTCAGTGGTTGCCAGGGGTTGAGGGGAGGGCACATAAATCAATGGAGAACAGTTTTTTAGAGCAGTGAAACTATCCTGTATGATACTATAATAGATATATATTATTCTTGTCAAAACCAATCGAATGTACAATACCAAGAGTGAACCCTAATGTAAAGTACAGACAGACCTTGAATGACAGTGATATGTCAGTATATGCTCATCAGTTGTAATAAATGTCCAATTCTGCTGCAAGATGTTGATAGCAGGAAAGGCTGTGTGGGGACGGGGTATATCAATCAGTACAGAGAGAACTAACTCTGTACTTTCTGCTCTGCTCAATTTTGCTGTGGATCTACAACTGCTCTAAAAAATAGTTCAAAAAAAAATTTTTTTTTTTTTTTGGGTAAAGAAAGCACAGAGATGATTATTGAATTCTGCTTAATGGCATCATTGGGCAATATCAGCATAATTATATTTAATCTAATCCAGTTTGTTAAAGCCCAAAGTTTTTTAAATTAAAAGATCATTTACCAGTGAGCCCATGTATTAATAATTTAATTTCCATCAATAATTTAGGTAAACAGCATCATAGTTCAGAAGATAATATGAGGTAGATACAGCGGGTAATACTTGCAACAATTGCTAAAATCCTGGGAATTAGAACAGTGAGCAGAAATGTCGGATTATGAACATGTGCCCCCTGCTGGTTATCAGGTGAAATCAATAGACCTTTCATTCAAAGTAAGTGTGGGAATAGCCCACATTCATCAAAATGAAAATGGAACTCGACTACCTTTTTTGTTGCACCTGGTGTCCCAAACCATAATGTTGCCATCTCTCCCACCTGTACAGAAGACAGCTGTGGGAAAATAGTTTATGAAAAATTAATAAAACTAGTCAATGATATATTTTAATTTAAGTTTCCTAGAGTATCTATTATATGCTAGGTTCTAAAATTGGCACTGGAGATTAAAAATTAAAAAGTATATGGCTCAACAACAAACAAGAAAATGAAGGGAAAGGATTACAAAGAACTCAAAATACTTGAACAAAACTTTTAAAAATAATCCCAGTGTAAATTTTCTTATAACCACCTAAAATTTTATATATACATATATAGAAAAATTATATTAAGAATGATAAATAAGCAATGACCGAAATATGTTGAGTGCTTACTAAGTGCTAGACACTATCCTAAGTGTTTTATATAAATTATCTTATTATCCCCGTTTTACAGATGAGAAACCTAAGGCACAGAGAGGATAAGTAACTTTAAAGGTATTCTTGGCAGTATGAATCCAGAGCCTGTACTCCAAACCTCCAAGCTGTACTGTCTCAGTATAAAAATATGGACCAGATCCATAGAAAATTTGTGAAAGGGTTGCCTTTGGGGATGGGAGGAGGACAATGGGATTAAAGAAGGAAATATAGGAGAATTTCAATTTATCCTCAATGTTCTATACTTTAAAATTAAACCAAATCAATTCTGCTTCCTGGGTGGAAAAGTAAACACTTACCCAACCAATCCACTTGCATTAGCTGTAAACTCTGGAAAAAATATAAAAAACTACCTGAAGGCTCTATAGACACTGAAGAAAACCATGCAATTTTTGAAGGAGAGAATACCTGAAGCATGTGATTGGCTTGGGGTAAATTACTAGTCTCTTGTGGTTTTACCTTGAGGGCAGCCACAGTTGCAGCATTAGTACCATGCAGCTAAGATGCCAATAAAAAAACATCTTTCAAGCCAGAGGAACTAGGAGAAGGAGACATGAGGCAACAAGAGCTGCCAAGTGAGGGGGCTGCCCTGGAGAGAGCCCGAGAAATGGAAACGCTAATTCTTTGTTTAAGTGCAGCGCCAGTCTCTGGCTGATCCATGAACCACATACGCAAGGGAAAACTAAAAGCAGCTTGCAACTAAGGCTTAAATTACACAACTGAACTGAGATCTAACCCACTGCCTTCCTACAGGTTTGACAGTCTGCAATTTGAGTCTAACTCAGTTAATTACCTGTTAAAACAAAAACATCACCTCTTTTCTGAGTAATATAACAGAATCCAGAGTTCAACATACCATTCATAATGCCCAAGGTATACCTTAAATTACTTGACATATAAAGAGCCAGGAAAATGAGTCATTTTTAAGGGAAAAGAAATCAACAGAGGCCAACCCCAAAACTCAGATGTTGATTTATCAGATAAGGCTGTAAAGCAGATATAACTATGTCAAGTGAAGTAAAGAAATAGACATTCATAATCAATGAAAAGGTGAGAAATCTCTGCAGAGAAACAAGATATCAAAAACAAATGGAAATTTTAGACTGAAAAACACAACTTCTGAAATGGCAAAATTCATTGGATAGGCTTAAGAGCAGAATGGAGAGAACAGAGGAAAAGTCAGTGAACTTGAAGACAAAAAATAGAAATCATTCAATTTGAAGTAAAAAGAAAAATTAAATTGAACATTTCACTAAGTGAAGGAAGCCAGTTACAAATGGCCACATATAGTATGGTTCCGTTTATATCAATGTGCAGAATAGGTTAAATCTATAGAGACAGACAGTGATTTAGATTTTGTAGGGCTTAGGAGGTACATGGAAAGTACTGCTAATGGGTTCTGGTTTCTTTTTGGGCTGATAAAAATGTTCTAAACTTACATTGTGGTGATGGTTGCAAAACTCTGTAAGTAAATTAGAAATAATTGAAATGTACACTTTAAATGGGTGAATTTTATAGTATGTTAATTATATCTCAAATTTAAGAAAATTGAAAAAGTCACAAAGCTTCAGGGATTCATAGAACAATTTTAAAAAGTCTAATATGTGAGTAATTGTAGTCCCAGGAGAGGAGTGAAAATTGTACAGAAAAATATTTCAAGAAATAACAGCAGAAAACTTCCCAAATTCAGTGAAACACACTTGTAAATTTACATATACAAAAAGCTCAGCAAGCCTCAAACATGATAACTTTAAAGGGAAACATGTCGGGACACATAATTGTCAAACTGCCGAAAACCTAAAATAGAGAAAATCCTGAAAGCAGTCAGGAAAAACAACACAATACGTACAGGGAAATGACTTAAATGGCCACAGAGTTCTCAACAGAAACAATGAAAGAATGAAAAGAAGAAAGTGTCAACCCAGAATTTTATATCCAACAAAAATATTCTTCAAGAACGAAGATGAAATACAGACATTTTCAGATTAAAGAAAAAACAAAGGGGATTCATTACAATCAGGCTCACTTTACAAGAAATGTTAAGGGAAGTTCTTTAGGCTGAAAGGAAATGATATCAGAGGACAGGGTAAAGATGGTGTTGCAAGGGGGAATCATGAGTTCAGGTTTGGATATGTTGATTGAAGGCAAGGTTAAGGCTGCAAATATAATCTGGTTCAATATAAGTGGGGAGGAAAACAAAACAAAACTGGAAGAGATGAAACTGTCCAGGGAGAAGGTAGAGACTGAAAGGAAAAGAAGGCCAAATACCAAATCCTGGGTCATGCTAACACTTCAAATTAGGTAAAGAGGTAAAGTTCACAAAAGCAATTATGAAGAAATAAACAGAAAGAATGAGAACCAGAGGGAGTGGTATCACAGATTCCAAGGAAGAAAAGAGCCTTATAAAATTTTTTAAATGGCCAGAAGTTAAATATGGCACAAGTAAAAGAAAGGCTGATTTCAGGGAGAAAAATGGGATTGGAAAACAGATTAAACCACACTGAGATGAGGAAACTTAGCCATCTTTTGATTACTCTTAAGAAACTTAGAGGAGATAGAAAATAAGGGATGATAGCTAAAGGAGAAAACAAGGTTAAGATGTTTTTGGGACAGGCCACAGATGTGCTTGAGTTTTTCCTGTGGAGAAAGAGTCAATAGAGAGGGAAAGCTTGAAGATACAGGAGCTGTGGAGTGTAAGGTCATCAAGGATGTCTCTCAACCTTAGCTGCACATTAGAATCCCTGGAGGAAAATCCCTTAAAAAAAAATAGATGCCACATATAAATGTTCACTTACATGTGGAATCTAAGGAACAAAATAAATGAATAAACAAAACAGAAACACTCATAGATACAGAAAACAAATTGATGGTTGCCAGATGGGAGGGGGGTTGGGAGGCTGGTGAAAAGGGTGAAGGGATTAAGAAATACAAATTGGTAGTGACAAAATACTCATGGGGATGTAAAGTACAGCATAGGGAATATCGTGAATAATACTGTAGTAACTGTATAGTGCCAAGTGGGCACTAGACTTATTGGGGGATCACTTCATAAATTATATAAATGTCAAACCACGATACTGTACACCTAAAACCAATATAAAATAATACTGAATGTCAACTATAATTAAAAAAAATTTTAAAAATAGATACCTGGCTCACTCCTCAGAGATTCACATTTAATTGGTATTTTAAAAAACTTTCCCAGGTGACTATGTGCAATCAGCATTGAGAACCAGTGGCCTATGAAAGATTGGCCATAAACTGGAGAACGAAGAATGAGAAAGAAGGTGCAAATTTGAAAGTAAGTTTGTAGGAGGAGAATAGAAGTACACTTATAATCATTTTAAATTATCCACAAAGAAGTTCTGGCACCACTTTAGCCACACAAAATACACACCTGTGTCAATTTTCCTTGCTTTCAGGTGGTAGATATTTAGGGACGGTAAATTCCACTAGTATGACTATGTCCTATTAGGATTATTTGTATCCATGTAGGGCTGAAAGAACTGGATCAATGATCTTTTCTACCATGCTACCTACAAAAGAAACTGCTAAGTATTTATATGGTCCTCGGTTTTGTTTTTTTAATGCATTCACATCTCACCTCACTTTCATGTTTATAGTATTTTTTTACGTTAAGTAGAATAGGTATTAATCTCATTAAATTAGGAAATGAAGATCCAGGGAGATAAAAATGACTTTGCCCAAGAGGTAGAAACCAGAACAAAACACATGGCTTCTATGTGTGGTTGTAAAAGTGTGCCCTGCACAAGGACACTTGGCTGAGGAAGTAGGAGCTAAAATCTAATCTGTGTTTTATTAACTAAACTATGTGTCCTTGGGGGCAGTGTCCAACGAGACGAATTTACAGTAGGGCACCTGTGGACTACTTGGGACCATGATAAAAACCACCTGCCCCAATTTCTAACTCAGTGCTTTTTCTACTAGAACACATTAGCATAGATTCAAAGTACACAGTTTTAAAAATCAAACAGAGACCAAAAGATAAGGTGTTTTCCTTTTCTATTACCATTTAAATAAGTTTACATTTAGGTAAATGTTCTTGATCTTAAATTATTTTCATAACTCAAAATGAACTCTGACACACGAATGTAGCAAACTAGAACACAAGCATACCTAACTTTATACAATGGATATATTCATAAAAAGTTACACCAAGATAAAAAACTATGACATATATTTCCTTTTCAAGGTTCTGGTCTCAACAGCAACCACAGTAGATTAAACAGCTCAACAACTCAGTTTAATATTGAGTGCACAGGTGAATAAGTAGAAGTATTCCTATTAAAAAGAGTATTTTTTTAAATGATAAAGAAGATTGTAGTGTTTTTCTCTATTATTCTGAGATTAAAGTCAGATTAATTCAGCCACTTCTTTGAGATGAAAGGTTGTTGGTCTATTTGTAAAAAAATTAATGAGAAATAAATGGAGGAGAAAACAAAAATCCAGAACTGAGGAGCTCGTTCAGATACCTCTGTTCAGATACCCTAACTGCTACAGTAGTGTTCTGTATTACATCACTCTTTAAGTCTTCCTTCTCCATTATAATAGTAAAATAAATATAGAAAGATCAATTTTGAGTTAAAATAGTTGGGAACATATGGAATTGAGCCATTTAGAGTAATTACATGATAAATTGTTAGGTAGAGAATTATGTTCAGCTTATCAGGTTTCCCACCCCAGTCTCACATCCCATTTAAGTTTTACAAGTAGAGTTAAAGTAACTATTTTACAAATGGAGTTAATCAGTGTCTAGTACAGGGTTTAGACTACAACAGACACTCAGAGCTGAACAGAGGTAGTGTGGCTGTTAATACGTTTTTACCTTATCTATAAGATTATAGAAAAAAATTACTTGAAGATGTTTGACTTTCAGGAACAAGCTGGAGATAATGCCCACAAGAATAAGACCCAACTCAATTGCATTTAGGTTTTCAGTCATATTAGAATCTCAATCATCTATGTAGGTAAAGTAGCAACATTGATAGGGCAAAGGGGACACAATTTCGGCTTCTTATTATCCCGTCATAAAGGAGGTTAAGGAGATGAAAGGTGATAGGTACAAACCTACCTTTCTCAAACTTAGAAAAGGCAACTGACTTAAGGCTGCACTGATGACCTTTGCATGTTCCAAGAAGCTCACCAGCTTTTACATCCCAAAATTTGGCTGATTGATCACCTGCTGCTGTAACCTTTAAAAAACAAATCATCATTTAATACAGCAACCCTCTACCAGTATTTCCTTAGGTCCCAATAAAATGAAAGTCACTTACAAGTTTAGGTTCACCAGGGACCCAGGCCAGGTCAAAGACAGCATTCCAGTGAGCCATCCATTCTAAACAAAGAAAACGGAGAATGTGAAACGTCTAGACTATGTTCTGTGGGAGTCATATAAATAGCAGCCAGCACCCTATGGTCCATGGGCCACAGAATATTATAATGAAGAAGGAAGATTTAAAGAGTGATACAATACAGAACATTCACTAACACATAGCATTACCATTATGATATCAAGTTCCTTTGAATATCAAGGTAACTAGCAATATAGGTATTTTTTTTAATGAAATCTTTCTGAAACATTTTCCAGTTCAAAAATCTTCATTGTGCTTTCTGAATGAAGTATAAAGTACTTCAATTTGACACTCAAGGTTGTGCAGGCTTTGTCCTTCATCTGTCACAAGGCTTATCTCTCACTGTTCTCTATATATCTTATTTCAACCAAACTGGATTACTTCCTATTTCCTTATTATATCCTAGTCTTTCTTATCTCTAAGCCTTTCCTAATGCTTTTCCCTCCACCTGGTGTGTCCTATTCCATCTCCATTGGTCTATATACCACAATCCAACTCAAATGTCATTTCCTTCATGAAAAATTTTCCTCCCTTTCTCTACATGAGAGCTTTTTCTTTGACTCCTATGGCATTTTCTTTGTACTTCTACATCATTTGTAGTCTTTGTTTTATTTTAGTTATTTCAACATGACTTACTAGTTCCCAATTATCAGCTTCTTAAGGTAAGTGAACTTTGTCTTATATCTAGAAGATGCTTGGTCAATACAAATATTTTATTATATATATATATATATTTAATTAATTTATTTATTTTAATTGGGGAATTGGAGAAGGGGACCAGCCAAGTTGTTGTTCTTCAGTCTTTGTTGTGGAGGGTGCCAGTTGCCATCTGGCTGCCCATCGGCAGCTCGTGGCCTCTAAGCTCAAGGTGTTGTGTTCAATCTTAGTGTCAGGTGGGCTCAGCCACCATCCATGCGGGAGTCAAACCAGCAGCCTTGTTGTTAAGAGCAAACGCTCTATCCACTGAGCCATCCAGGTGGCAGCTCAGCTCAAGGTGCCGAGTTCAGTCTTAGTTGCGGGTGGGCGCAACTAAGGCAGTCTTGTTGTCAAGAGCATGTGCTCTCACCAGTTGAGCCATCCTGCCACCTACTGGCAACTCAGCTCAGGCGCAGCTCACTGGCCCATGTGGGAATCGAACCAGTGGCCCTGTTGCTCAAAGCTCGCACTCTTAAGCTAACTCTTAACCAACTGAGCCCCTTGGTTGGCCCCAAATATTTTAAAGCAGTGTTTCCCCCAACCTCAGTAAGTATAAAAGATTTAATCTTTTTAAAACAAGAACTGTTTTTAATCCTAAAATTTATTTTTCTTAACTTTCAGTAAACATAGTTAACATTTATTGACAGAAAGGCAATTCACATTTACTTTTAGCCTGTCCCTAAACACACCTAATTAGAAGTGAATATAATTGGGAATGTATTCAAATAATAATAATTTGCTTGAGGCTTTATGAATTAAAAATGTTAAAACAAAAATTTAGACCTAGACTTACCTTTGACACACTTCTTTCTATAGGTTTGTGATTCTGTGTTATATAATCTAACAAAGCCTTCTTCATTGGCAACTGCTAGTATATGCTTCATATTGGGAGCTAAATAAGAAATAAAGAATAGAATATGTAAATAACACAACATGTAAATTACACAAAAGTTTTGGAGCTGAATATAAAAGCTATGTAAATAATACAATATAGATTAATTGAAAGCTATTAGGTAAAACACAATCTGCTTAAAAAGAGGAAAGATCATTCTACCGAAATGGCATCTGATACAATAGAGAGGTAATTTGAATTAAAAACTGCTTAAAGTTTTCCATAATATCTAATTTAGTAAATGACTCAAAATCACCAAAATTATCTTCAGATAATCTCTTATTCAGAGAAGGGGTGATTCAAGGGGGGTACTTAAACAAAACAAAAGTAGTACTGGCCAATGGCATATAAAGGTATATGATACAGGCCACCAGCAGGCTGAGTCTATTAGTTTAAAATTCCCTTTCCACAACCATTTACTTTTCCTCTCTTAAAATATTAACAGTGGTAAAAAGAACTTCTATTTCTGTTCATATGTTCCCCAATGCATTACAGAAAGATAGATTCAATCAGATCAAAAGGGGTATCTACTGGGTAAAACAGTTTTCATGATGGCTGAACCTTTGCAACTGCTTTCCTATATCAGTTAAAAAAAAAAAGGCGCTATAATGGTCCTGTGCTTTACAGAAAATACATAATTATGCATAGAGATTAAGAAAAGTCTATTTCATAAATCAGGAAGAACAGTTATTAGAAAAACTCTACCATCTAACTTCCTTTTCTTGAAAGGGGGACACCCTTACATATTTTTCCTCTAAGTGTGAAATAGATTTTTTCTGACCACGCCTAGCTAGATAGCAATTCTCTTACCAGAAGAGAAGGTGCATCCAAAAGGAGGAACTGGGACTCCTGTTTCTCCATAAGAAGTGTGTTCATCATTAGAGTTGCACTGATAACTAGTTAGAAGGGACTGGAGAGGGTACTGTGAAGGCCAACCTAAAATAAGACACAATTCCTTACAGAATTCCAATATATCATCACATTTCAGTACTTTTAACAAATGCAGAGGTAAATATTTGTTTTAAAAAACTCTGTATACTTAATATAGATCCACTTACAATCTATTGTCCTCCAGAATGCAGTTTCTGGTATTTTCCTAAGGTATCGAAGGAATAAATGAAAGAGTACTCTCAAATTCTGGTGAGGTATAGCTTTGGTCTTACCATTTAAATGGAGACTTGCTAGCACATTGAAGATTGCAAAGAACAAGTGGCCTCTGCACATTAAAAAAGATCTTACCTCTTCCCCCACCATTTGGTAACAACCACACCATTAAAACTGCATTCTCTTCAACTAAAATTTTATGTTTTTAGAGTTTCTAAAGCAACATTACTGCAAACTCTTAAGTTACTATAATAGCAACATAATCATATATAATCCAATGGTAATAGAGTTAAAAGGAAATAATTCACGTCAGTGTGCCTACTGTAGCAACTAGCATATTCACAAGTAAATACTAATTTCACTTCCTCTTTCCTTTCCAGAGCTGGAATTCTAGGATTCTAAAATGTTGCTAGCAACAAGTCATAGTATCTTAATTATTTTAAAACAATTTTAAAGTAAAGCATTACATACCTACCCCTAGAGTACAATCAGTTAGCTCTGGCTAGTAGTAGTAGTAGGGTCAGGGAAGAGTTTTGGAGAAAGTGAAATCAAGCAAAAGTCTTGAAAGATGAGTAAATTTTCATTGAATATATAAGAGAAAGGAAGAATTTCAGGGTGGAGGGAAAGTTTTTCCTGTTAGGGTCAGAAGCCTAATGTGCAGTATGGTATAAATAGTAAACCATCTTCAAAGATTTATCACTTTTATATGTGGGTCAAAACTTTATTTATAGAAAAGGAACATTGATTCAATAAATAGTTACTGAGAGCCAAATGTTTTATAAAGCATAGAGGGAAACAATGAAGTTACAATCTATTGAGAGCTGTCTAAATAATTAGCAAACTCTCTTACATTTTAGGGTACTTTCAATTCTCACTTTTCATCAAAAATACTGTTTGGAGAAGACATCTTAGCCTGATATAATCTCACATGTTCATGGAGATAACCTGAAGGAATCAGTGCAAAGGAGGCAAAGAAATTCAATTCATAGTTAGTAATTATCCCTGGGGATATTACCTCAAGACCAGATATCATTGTAAATGAGCCATTAAAGACCACTAAGAGAAGAATACAGTAGTTATATTGTAGAGTTAAAAAAATACCCATCTACAGGATAAATTTAAAAACAAAAGCCCCTGTTCTAAAGTTACTTGTGGTTTGGAATTTTTTTAAAAAGATCTAATGACTGCAATACATGAATTTGAAAGAACTGAATCAAATAATTTAGGTGGAACTAGAAATGTTATGCTATGGAGACCTAATTGTTTACAATTAAACAGTGATTCCCTCAACTCTGCCTCATCACCTCCAGACTAATATTCAAACACTAACAAATGGTCTAACATGACTTAGTAACTAGTCCCCTCCATTTCTGCACTCATCCCAACACGTTCTTGGGCCAGCCCCTTAAACTACTTTTGGATCTTTATTGTGCTATGCTGTTTCCAACATGAGCCTGTAATGCTTTCCCCCACAACACTCATTTGGAAAGCCGATTATTTACTCAATGTACAATACAACTTAAGATTACACGCAGATTTTTTGAGGCGTATCCAAAGACATAAGAGTTTCCAGAGAATCAATTTCCTGATACTCAAATTCCAGGTACATGCACTTCTAAAACTGATCTCTCTGAAAGGTTGAGGCTCTCTTTTTTTCCTCTCCCTTCATCACTGCCTTTCTTCCCCTTTCAAAAGAAAGGCATTCCATGCCCTAATCTTACACCTTGCATTGACCCAAGGTATAAAAACTTCTGGGACCCCAAATGAGAGACAATTGGATACTTCTTTTAATAAAGACATCATGAACACCCAAATGCATTGCTTGAAAAAGATATACTTCTGTTAAAATTTTACTTTTTGTCAAATAATTATTTATCAAAATTAGTAATCTATATTATTTTGACTAATTTCATGCTACTAATACTTGCAATGATAATTCAATCCTGAAGAACTTTTAAAACTTAGACCTTTACGATCAGACAGTATCAATTTAAATATGTATATTTTTTTACACAAGGAGTATGATAGGGTGATCAATAGAATAACTTTCCAAGCTTAAAAACAAATTACATTAGGATAAATTTTGTTGGAAGAAATAAGTGGAAATAAATTCAAAGAAAAAAGCAACTATGTAGAATATCTAACAGTTAAAAGAGTTTGTTCATATTTTTAAAAAATGGTTGATGTGGTTTTCAAATCACTATAGTATTTACATTCTACGAGATACATTTTTAAAGAGTAATGTAGCATTTTTATTTTAAAATGTCAATATTCATAATATGGCCCAAAGTTAGATCCTTTATATTTGTTTAAATTTATGATAAAACTTTAGATACCAATTTAAAAATACATGGGAGAGGAATCAGATTTCCATTTTAGAAAGATCACTGGCAGTGACGTGGAGAATATAAACTGAAGAGAGGGAAACCAAGAGGCCATTTGGGAGACTTGTTATAGTCCAGACTAGACGGTATTAGGGCTCGGCCTAAGGAAACGGAATGGTAAGCATAGAACAGATCCAAGATACGGTGAAGAGGCAAAATCAGTGGGGACAGAAAGGGCAGATTCAGAAGATTTTAAGGAAACTTTCTGGATGTGTATCTTGAGGAACGTGAAGGAATTTTTACTGACTCTCAGACTTCTGGCTGGGAAGACTAGTTTCACAATAATGGAATCACTGCCTAAAGTAGGTAATATGGCAGGTTTGGGAAGAAGTGAGTTCGGTTTTAGTATTTGAGTTTGATATGCTCGTGGGACTGACCACATGAGTGAAGATACACAAACAACTTTTACAGGAGGGGATGTAAAGTCTAGGTAGTAGCAGAAGCAGCTCTGGTTAAGGCGATGATCACCCATGGGAGCAGGTGGAAGGAGCTAAGGGACCTAGGATGGAACACCAGCATGGAAGGAAAAAGGAGATGGTCTTATAACGATCAGGGCATAATATACAAGAATGAATGAAGTTCAGAGCCTAACACTAAACCATGGATGAGAATTTGTGAATGAGAAGGAAGAAGTAAATGGATGCATTGGTGAATTAGGGGCAAATGTGTTAAAAAAAATTTGAGGCTAAATAGCTTGTCCCAGGTCACACAGATAGTAATGAGTGAAGCTGGAATTTTACCTCCAAAGACAGAGCTCTTAAACACTGTGTTGTATTGCCACATATGACACAGGGGATAGAGATGTTAACTCAAGCAAGGTCCCAGGGGAGACAGAGAGAGAGAGAGAGAGAGAGAGAGAGAGAGAGAGAGAGCGAGCGAGAGCGAGAGAGAGGTATTTAGAATACAATTTAAAAGATTAATTTAAGAGGGAAGTTGGTAAGGATGGTATAAAGTTTTAGATTGGGGGCAGGATGTTGAGAGACTACTGTCTCAATATCCTTTTCCTAGACCAATGCCTTAAGTATAAGAAGTTCCCTTATTAGAGTCTTTTCTTTTTGTTTTCCACATGGTTTCAAGGAGAAAGTAGACCTAGCCATCTTTAAAAAGAATGAAATCTCATTTCTATCCAACATAAGTCTGGGTAGTAACTCCCCATCAGAAACTAACCAAAAAGTTTCAGGTTGATGATACCCAAACCTTAGCTCAAAGCTCTTATCGCCAATGCTTTAACCTAAGGAACCTCAAGAACTGTAGAGAATAAGTCGGATTTCTACATACGAACATGTACATATTCCCAAGTTACACGGTTAAAGTGGAAAAACAAAACAAAACATCTTTCTATCATTTCTATATATAACAATACATACTACCTCTGGCATGGCAAACCATTTGGAAAAATGTACTTCAAACTATTTAACAGTGGTCATCTCGGGGATGTTTATAGGCATTTTTCACTCCTATAATTTCGAATTTTTATGCACGCGTAGTAATCAGGGAGGAAAGAAAAAATTAAGACCATGCTAGAAGCAGACGTTCCATTTTCTCCGCTTGACTGAGTTCCTTAACGGCGGGTCAGATTCACTCGTGTACCTATAACAAGTAGATCACTAAGGCTCTACAACAAATGAATTAATCAATGAATTCGAGTTTCCTCGCTCTCACATAGCTATTGAGAGGTACACACGCACGTACGCACGCTTTTTCCAGTTAAAGTGTAATATAGACATAAACCGTAAGGGAGGCCATTTAAGACAACTTCCCTCCCTCCATCGGCCTACATTACATTTTAAAACTCCAAACTACGATTAAAGTGTACCGAGGGCATGAAAGTGCAGCTTTCTTCAGTAGTCTTTGCTAATACGAATTCACTTGGGGGCTGGAAACCAGAACTGGAGTCGGCCTCGGTCCGAGGTGTTTCGGGAGAGGCGAATCCCGCCAGCAACAGGCAGCAGTTAGGGCCGTTACTCACCATTTCTCGGGACGCCAAACTGGGGCTGACGGAGCACCGAATTGAAGAGCATCTGGACCAGAGGAAAAGGCTCAACAGAGGGAAAAGCCCTGAAATTGCCCCCCAGGTTCAGCAGAAGTCGCAACTCGCGTCTCTCAGAAGAGGACTAGTTATAGCCTCCAACTCCCGCCACTGTAAGCCCCGGCCACCAAACTCCCCGCCAAACTGACGTCACGCCCTCTGATTGGCTCCCAGAGCAGCGTCCGGGCGCCGCAGAGTCACTTCCCTCTCCAAATCCCCGCCTTCTTTTCTCCTAGCCGCGGGAACCTAGAGTTCAAGAGCTCTCTGAGCGCCTGCGCGGGGAGCTGCTGAGGCGCTGGCGAACGGCGGGATGACCAGGGCGCATGCGTAACACAGCTTGACAGAGCGCGGAGGAAAAATCCGCGAGAAGGTGGTGGGAGAACATGGCGGTGCTGGGCCAGAGTTTGCAATCTTTTTGACTAAGCTCATCGAGTAACTGTTCGGGTCATGGCGTCACACTCAACTAAGTCTTTCCTGGCAGATGCCGGCTATGGCGAACAGGAGTTGGATGCTAACTCTGCCCTTATGGAATTAGACAAAGGTATTCGAAAGAGCGTGCTGAGCGGGTGAGACGGAGTGGGAGGAAGCGGCGCCACCAGATGGTGGTAGCCTGGGGAGAGGCCGGGAAGACGAATGCGCAAAGCTTCCCTGGGCGGGGCGTGCGCGCGCCTGTGCTTTTGGTGAATCCCAGGGCTTTTACCGCTTTGGGAAATTGCAGGAAAATTGCAGCGTTGCTGGATTGGCATTGCACCAGCTGAACAAGTAGCGAGTGCCACTGATAGGCCTGTGTTGACCACTTGGGGGCACAGTACCCCGATTTTCCAAGAAGTTTTTAAGAATGCTGGATTGAAATTGTGAAATTATTCTTCAGAACCTTTAGTTGAAACCAGGTTTTCACCAAGAGCTGAATAATAATCTTGCACCGACTTTACAGCGATTTATTTGATTTCTGTAACTCTATTACGTGCGGCTTACCAGGCAGGTTAAATAGCCAAGACCATCTGTAAAGCAAAGCCTCTGCTAATTTTCCTGCAGACAAATTCCACCAGTTGTATTTCCTTAAAGGGGGCGGGTAAGGGTGTGTGTGGGGGGGTAAGAGGCAGCTTGGTGTAGTAGAAGGAGCTTTGAAATTAGAATGAGTTGAATTTCAATTTTACTAATTTCATAATCATGGACAAGTCACCTGACTTTACCCAACCTTGGTTATTTGTCTGCAGAATGGGTACAATACCACTGAGTTGGCAAGACTGGTGTAGATAATAAGTGATACAATGGTGCGCAAAAGAAGCCTTTCTTAAATGCAAAGAGATATGCCTTCTTAGATATGGATATGGCAGGCAAGGGTAGATATTTGTTAATAAAGAACTCATCTATTAAAATGAAACCTTTGTTTCAGTGTACTTTAAGGATTTTTATTGAATGGAGAAAACCTTATCTGGGATACAATTAAATCTTGATTAATATAGCCATTGTATAATGTATTGAGAACTGGACTAAAGGTTAGAAGAATCTGCCTGATTTAAGTCCACTTGGAGCCATTTCCCAGCGCTCTGACTTGGACACTATTAACTTTTGTGGAACTTTTGTTTCTTTTTTAACCTGTGAACATTTCTAGTGGGTTGATCTAGATAAGAGTTTCACAGACTATTATAAAAGCCTTCAAGTACTTTTGATAAACATAATGTCACCACTCCAATTGTAATATTTGTTTGGTTGAGATACAAAATCTTTAGTACATCCCCATCAGCCAAGAAAATGATGTGAACTTTCTCTTACCAAAGCTATAGGGCTTTTACCCTCTGAAATATAAAATTATAACATTAAGCGTGTTTTTTAAACACTACATAATCTTTTCCTCCCCATTCTGATCATTCCTTGCGTATTCCCTAGTGAGATTTTCAAGTCCGGATAGCTAATATTATATTCCTACCAATTCTACAGACATTTTCTACCACTCTGGCCCAGGTGGGCTCATCCCCTAAGAACAGTAAGACAGTGGTTGTGGAACAGAGATCAGGATGGGGGGCTCTGAAGAAATGAGAAATTTGAATTTGTTTAATTACTAAAAATTTGCAATTGTGGTAAGAAAAACAAAATAATATAAATTTACCTTAAATAAATAATGGATGGCTATTGTTTAGCTGTAAACCAGGTGTCAGTCCTAGATACTAAGTGATTGTGTTCAATCCTCCCAGCAGTGCCCTCATAGATGAGTCTCAGGCTCAGAAAGATAATTTGAACTAGACAAGAACAAAATTTGTTCTTTTTCATCTCACCATGCTATACCTTTTAAAGTTGTTAAGAAATTAGATAACAGAAACTGCCAGTTCGTTAGAATATAGTTTAGTGTTTTAAATATTGAGTCATTTCATCCTTGACCTATTAAAGTATTTCTATTTTGTGAGCCAAAGGTCGTAGTGTCAGAAGGCTACAAGTTCCCATACTATAGAGAGAAGCCTCTGCAGCCAAGTTTATACCATGTGACCAATTCCATGCCATAATGACTGATTCAGAAGTGGACAAAAGACCCACACTGAGCCAATCAGATTCTTTCTCTTGAAAAATCTGTACTACCAGACCAGACTTAGTCTGGCAGTGTTGAGAAGTGGACCTATAAGATCATGTAAAGTTGAGGCTAAGGTCAGACTCTTACCAACTCAATGCCATGTAAAAACCAGCATTAGGAAGGACCTGGTTGGTGACCCCTTGATAGGCCATGAACTGATCCAAAACTCCAAGGCCCTTCTTCAGCTCTTACTGAAATCCGTGGATTCATTTCTATGTATGGCTAAAAGCTACTGTCTTGTAACTTACAAAGTGAGTTAATAAATATTCCTAAAAGTTGGCATTCATAAAATAAAATTAATTTGTTTATGATTCCAAATCAGTATTCTGTGTACATGCTGCACAGTGTGGCATACATGCCATCATATATAGTATTTACAGACAATTTCTGACATTTGGGGTAAGGATGCTTTATTATTAATGCATCATCAGTCGAGTTGACTATCATTTCAGTTGTTTGTATTCCTGCTTTTTAATGTAATCTATTGAGGCTTTGCCATTAACAATTTATTCAGCTTGAGTTGTTAGGTTACTTTATAATGTGTGGTGCGTGCTTGTGTTTGTATCTCCACTCCACCCCCCCACCCCCACCCCCGCCTTTTTTAGTGAATAGACTTTAAGATGTGTATGTGTTATGGTTCCACTTTGACTCATTCTCACCCCTTAGCTAAAGCAACGTATATAACAGATTCCCCTAATATGTGCTTGTTTGGTGTTGCGAATTACCAGTGTTCTTTGTAGTGGATGTTGGCCATGTTGATGGTCGCATCTTAGCATCTTTTGAACACTCTTCCTACGCTTGAGGAATGTTCCACATCATGAGCCCTGTCTCACCAAAATGGAAGCAGTAACCAGTTTCCTTTGCTAGAGCATTGCATTTGAACTTAGGCTCTGCCAATCAGACAGACCTCCTCCTAGCTCTGTGATTTAAGTTTAGAGATGCAAGAAGGCGGATTTGATGAGGACCCTTGCAGCTCCCTGTCCTGGCAGCAGCAGTGGCTATAGTGCCCCCTAGTGTACAGTACCAGCAGCAATGGCTCCATTGCTAGATGACAGCAGAGCTCACGGTAGTATCTGGTGTTTCCTAGCAACAACAGTTTTCCCCATCTAATTAGTTTGGCAGTGTGGTATTTGTTGTTCCTAGAAGTTTAGCCTTGAAACTGTTTACTACTAGCCTTTTAATAAACCCATTTTTCTGCCCAATCAGCTAGAGTTTGGTTCTTAGCTTGCAGCTAAGAACTCTGACTGATTCATACCTGGAAATGTGTGCTACTTTGAAAACGTGATTAAGGTACATCAGAAACCCCAAGTTTATCATAATTTATGTTATTCCTCCTTAGTTCCCTGGAATTTGTCATCCCTCAGAATTGCACCACTCTGAAATCACTAATTCAGATATCCCATTCTTTAATCTTAATCACTGTCCCTCTCGTTGCTTGCTAGGTGTTCATTTTAGCATAATGGTGAAGACCTTAGGCTCCGGAACCAGATTACCAGGATTTGAACCCCATCTCTGCCATTTATTAGCTGTTGTTTCTTAGGCAGTTTAACTGTCTTTGCCTGTGTCTTCGTTTTTAAAATGGGGGTAATAGTACCTAACGTCTGTGATTATAAAGTGAGGCTTTAATACATGTAAAGTGCTTAGTAGAGTGTCTGGCACATTAGAAGGACTTACTATGCATCATCATTATCATCATTTTGATTAATGTTATTTTGACCATTCTTTATTTTTATTCACACCTCGGTATATTTATCTCTCTTCTTTCCCCTACCTAGCAGTTCTTTCCTGTTTTTACTTCTGTATCCAGCTTACATTTCATGGTTCCTCAGTTTATAAACTTCATTTACTTTCTTACCAGTACTTTAAATTCTCATCCAAGGTTCTATTCTAGTCATGTGTGCCCAAAGGCAGCCAGAAATTGCTGGAGAAAGTCATAAACAGGGCAGGTAGCTATTATCAGAAATTCTATCAAACTCAGAGTAGCCTTTAACACAGACGTGCAACACTACCGTGTTTCTTTGGTCAAGACTCTCCCACCTTCAGTGATATTTACAGTTTTCGAAAAAGCCAGAAATCCTGAGTTTTATGTGCAATCTCATTTTTAAAATTTGGCAGTGAATTCAAAATCTTTAAAAATGTGTTTATCAGCTCAAGTCGTTCTGAGGCCCAGATTCAGCAGCCTTCTAGTTTTCTAACCCCAGTGTAATCAATATCGGCAGGCCAGTCAAATAAGACCCAAGTGACAGCATAGCTTGCGGCCCTGAATGCCTGCCCTCTCAGTGCAGCTGAGCCGAAGCCTGGGCCCTGCCTGCCCCAGAGCTTTGGTAGGTGTGGACTGGAACCCTAGCGTGGGTACTTTTGAAAAGTTTCACAGATGTTATGGTACAGAACCAGGGCTGCAAACCAGTACCCTCGAAAAATGTTCTGCATATTTTAAGTGCTAAATAAGTTTAGAATAATGAACTTTATTGCTGCAGAATGAATTTAGAATGAATAAGCAATTTACAGACAACCTATGTTAGTTCCCTCTAGTCTACTCATATGTTTTAACTGAGTTAAGCACTGTTTACCTCCAGGCACTGTTGGGTGGGAGAAGAAAAGTAAAATGTAGAAACAGCGATCACATCCCTCTGCTTTCATCTCTGGTCTTAGAGTGGCATTCTTGTCATCATTGGTCTTAGGATCAGGGCATTCTCGGGTTGGTTGTAACTAGCAATAGAAGTAAAGTGAATAACTTCTCTTAGACCAAGATCTGGTTGTGCTGAGTGCCTTTTCTCAGAAGCTTGGCTTATCCTGAGTCGAAATTGACCTAGATAAAGCAAGCTGGGTACCATCCTACCCTACATCAGAAAATAAGCAAAAAATTCACTATTTAGCTTATTTACTCTGTTGGCCTTGCCAGAGGCATGTGGGTCTATTTTTGTCTTAAAGAAATAAGATTTAGCAACACTAGGGAGATCAAAACATTTCTCTGGCCAGATTCAAAATTATCTTTGGTACATTTTAAATCAGCATAATTTAAACAAATCAGTGTGGTCTGTGCTTCTGTTTTTCAAGGAAAGGTAAAACAGATCTTAACTCTGTTGGGTGACGCCCTCTACAAGGACTGCTTCCTCCTTTGCCTTTTTCATCCCAACCAAGGTTAATTCATTACAAACAGAACTTAACTGTTGTAGCCACAAGTGTATAAGCTGCTCTCTCTTTTTTCTGTTTTTCGCAGGTCTGAGATCCGGCAAACTTGGTGAGCAATGTGAAGCGGTTGTTCGCTTCCCCAGGCTGTTTCAGAAGTATCCATTCCCTATCCTCATCAATTCTGCTTTCCTCAAGTTAGCCGATGTTTTCCGAGTTGGGTAAGTCTTTTTAAAGCCACAGTGCCCTAAAGCACTTTGTTCATATCTTTGTTTTGCATTGTAGTCTTTCTTTATTCTTTTTTTTTTTTTTAAAGGTTTTATTGGGGAATTGAGGGAGGGGAACAGCGCTGGGGAATCGGGGGAAGGGGAACAGACAAGTTGCTGTCCTTTTGTTCTTCAGTCTAGTGTGGAGGACGTTGCTTCACTGGCCCAAGTTGGCATTGCGATCATTGCTCTCTTCCCAGGTGAGGCGGCCATTGGACGGCCGCTCACGGTGGCTCTTGGCAGCTCACGCTGGCTGCTGGCCACTCATGGTAGCTTACGGCAGCCCACTGCAGCAGGGGCTGCAGCCTACGCCGTTGCCGGCGACTCACAGCAGCCCAGCTCCAGGTTGAGCTGTTGTTCAGCATCTTAGCTGTAGAGGGCAGTGTCACTGGCCCTCATATGTGGGATCCGAACCGGGGTCCTCTGGCGTCCCAAGCCAGCTCTTAACCAATGCACCACTCGGTCGGCCCGTCTTTCTTTATTCTATCTGCCTTTTAGGACTTCCACATGATTGGTTACCATTTTAGTAGACACGCATGGTGGTGTGTAATACATACTTTTTGGTGGGAGATTTAATGACAGTTTAAGCAAAAATGAAGTGTATAAATTAGAGAGTACTTACGTGGGTAACAGGATAAATCAAATTAAGGCAACCTTAATATATTACTGTATATTTTGCAAATATCTGTGGTTTTTTACTGATTGTTTTGAGAAGTTTCTGATTTAATAGCTTGTTTTATAACGTGAGAGTACATGTTACTACGAAGTGCTTGAAACATGTAAGCCCTGAATAAAATCCTCTTTTCTTTTTTCTTCTTCCCACCAGTCCCTCTCCCACTTCTTTCTGTCGTTCTCTTTGCACTCATGTGCTTGTACACACACCATATCAGACTTGAAGGAGTAAAGATGTTATAGAATTAGCTTGAGAGCGGAGGAAGACCATATGGCCTCCTGGCCTGAACTCCTGGCCTCGATTATAATAGGATAAGGTTTAGTTCCTTCCCAGGGCTTCTTGTGTCACTGCCATTTCGGTGTCTTGCAGGAGGACTGCAGGCATTGCTAACTGCTTATGCTTAGTGCCCACTTAAAGTACTATAGCCTTTAACTCTTAGTGATGAGACAGATAATAATAAATGCTGAAAAGCATTCACCTGTTGCTACAACTTAATATCGTTAGTGTCCTGTTACTTTGCTAAAGTGGTCTAATTTATTTTATCTCTGGTTTTTCATAGAAACAATTTCCTGAGGCTCTGTGTGCTTAAAGTTACTCAACAAAGTGAGAAGCATTTGGAGAAGATTCTAAATGTGGATGAATTTGTGAAGAGAATTTTCTCTGTGATTCATAGTAATGACCCTGTAGCAAGAGCCATCACACTCAGGTACCTACTGCGTTGCTGTGATGACTCATCACAAGATTGTTTGAGTGGTATTTATGTAACCCAGAAAGGCAGCATGTTTACTTTTTCCATTTTGAGGATTAAGAATTTATTTTTGTTCTTCCAAATAAGACTCAATGCAAAAATACGGTAATCATCCCAACCTGTAAATACTTCTCACTTATCTGTGATATTGTTTTGGTTGTAAATTGTTGCCTAACATTCTGTAAGTAGGTGTTCCTTTTTTTAAGATTTTTACTGGGGAGTTGGGGGAAGGGGAACAGACAAGTTGCTGTCCTTTTGTTCTTCAGTCTAGTTGTGGAGGACGTTGCTTCACTGGCCCACGTTGGCACCATCATTATGCTCTTCCTGGGCAAGGCAGATAAGTCACCGGCTTCTGGACGGCCGCTCACGGCAGCTTGAAGGCCGCTCACGCTGGCTGCTGGCTACACACGGTAGCCCATGGCAACCCATTGCCACAGGGGCTGCAGCCTACGCCGTCGCCGGCGACTCACGGCAGCCCAGCCCCAGGTTGAGCTGTTGTTCAGCATCTTAGCTGTAGAGGGCAGTGTCACTGGCCCTCATATTGTGGGATGCGAACCGGGGCCCTCTGGCGTCCCAAGCCAGCTCTTAACCAACGCGCCACTCGGCCGGCCCTGTTGGTAGGTGTTCTGATCAAATAACCAGGATCTGAATGTAGCTTAGCCTTAGCTCATTTTGAACTTCCTGACTTTATTCTTACTGTTTCATGTTAGTTTTCTGTGTTCGTCCTTATGTATGGACTCATTTTTTATTGCAGTAATTTGTATTTGAACTCCTTGAAGAATGCCAGATACAACCACAGTAGTTTCTTTAGCCTTTTTTCTTTCTTGGCATTTAAACATTTTTTGAAATTTTGTTAGAATTTCGTTTTGTAAGCCTTATATTCAGCTTGAGCCATGTTCTCCTTTAGCTCTGCTGTTTATGGAATTATTTGTATAATTTTGGGATTTTTGAAATGCACTTTCCTAAATTATAGGGCTCATTTCTGACTTGCCCTTCTCAGACAATGCTCTTTTTAATCATGAAGTCTAGAGTGTATCTTCTTCCCTAAGTTTCCATGTCTTCACAGCAGGAACTGGTTCTTTCCTCTTGTTCAGAATTAAGTGCTTTTGTGATTCATAGTTTAAAGATGTTTTATTTTTTACCCGTTACTTTAGACTTATAAAGTAAAACAACAAATGGAAGAAGAAGCTGTGAGATATTCATTGCATTTGAAATGTAGTGCTCTGAATTATTTATAATATTACTAGAAATCTTTTCAGAAAGTAGTGACTAATGGGATTATGCTTTTTTGCCTTTTTATATTACATAGTAGCAAACTGTTACTCAAGATATATTCATATTGCCTAGTCTAATCTTTATTTTTTTAATTTTTATTTTTTTAGCTGAGCCATCCTGCCACCTGTTGGCAGCTCAGCAGCAGCTCAGCTCGGGCCAGAAATCAAACTGGCGACCCTGTTGCTCAGAGCTCTACACTCTTGAGTGAGCTCTTAACCAACTGAGCCACTCGGCTGGACCTTTGCCTAGTCTAATCTTGTATAAAATATTAGATTAGTATATATTAGATGTTTATTTTGAAAAATAACTCATCTAAGTTATTTCAAACTTTGTTTTCAAATTGAAATTAAATTGCATATTTAGTCCATTTTAATACCTTGTTTATAAGAACTCTACTACTTGTGTCCAGTTGATTATATCTTTATAGGATAATTAGGAGATATGTAAAGTTGGAAAGTAACTTTGGACATTGACTTAGAGAAAGGTTGTCGTTGTAGGAACTCTGTTTTGTTTATTGAAATGTTTTACAGCCTTCTAAAATCCATGCCTTTCTGCTGAAAATACTTTTCAAGCTTTATTTTCTATAGTTTATGTTACCAACTGTAGATTATGTTCCTTTTCCAAATGTATATTTTTATTATAAAGTGTACTGTGTTTTTTCAAATTCTACCTTCCTCACCCTCTCAGACTCTGATGTGAGTTCCAGGGAACATCCTCTGCATCACTTCTTTTGACATTGAGGATGGGTTTGAAAGTTATGCTGCCAATATTTATTGATGTAGGAAAAAAGGACTGGGAAGTCTTAGTTTTTTTACTTTGACCAAAAATGTTAGAATTTTAATGCTTTGCTAATATGGATTTTTTATGTAACATTGGAAAATTGATATTTTGATGCTTTAATAAATCAAAAGTTTGTTTTCTGGGTTCTGTTTGGTACCTGGATTGTACTTCAAGATTATTTTGTAAAATTTTTCTTATGTTAAATAATCCATGTTAATTTTTCTGACATATTGAAGTATGGGAAAGTGGTTAGAATTTCATCACAGCTTGATTTGTAAAATTGATGCTTTTATTAACTTGAGATTATGTAATTATCTACAAACTTTAGTTTTGGTAATCCAACCTTGTCTTGCTTCTTCTTTTCCTGACCTTGAGTTTATTGTATTTTCATTCTTCTTGGGTTTCTCTATTTCTGTAGGATGTTGGGAAGTCTGGCATCAATAATTCCTGAGAGAAAGAATGCTCATCATAGTATTCGTCAGAGTCTGGATTCACATGATAATGTAGAAGTTGAAGCTGCTGTTTTTGCTGCTGCAAACTTCTCTGCACAATCGAAGTAAGCATAGGCCTTTCAATTACTTGGCTTCCCAAGGAGAGGTTTTTGAAGGAGTAACTCAGCACTACGTAAACACTGAGGGATACAGAAAAATGTAAATGGCAAGGTGTGTTTTCCAAGAGGGTGTACATCATATTGGGGACGCAAAACTTAAATACATAGAGCGGAATAGTTAAGTACAAAATGTTGGCATTAACTATAAATGAAATAAGAGTTTCTAGGACAGGATTAGCATAGATGAGAGTAGTTGGAAAGCCTCACTGGGGAGCGGGAGCTTTGTTTGCTGAAGAGCTTCCCCAGACATACACAGCCCTAATACTAAATTGCTGGTTTCTTATTGTCTTCTCAGGTAAGCTGCTTGGCATTAGAGCTGCGCACAGTTTGGCAAAGACAGTAACTTGAGTTGAACGAATTTTAACCTATTTGGGAGGTCATGTTCTCCACTATTATCGTGCAGAACATTTAGGGGTCTTCTTTGGATGAAGTGTTGACCATGGTTTTATTACTGTGTTTGACTTGCTTGTTTACCATCTGTAAAAAAATGTATTACCCACTTCAGTGACTGATATCAAAAGTAGCATTGCTTTCTGGAGGGCGTTTTTGTATTATGTATTTTGCCTTCAACATCCCTTTGACCTAGAAAATCCACTTAGAACTAATCCTAAGGAATCCGTAATGTGTACTGATATTTATTTGCTAGGATGCTGGTTACAGCATTATAAGAAAAGAAATTAGTAGCAACCTAAATTCCAACCAGTGTTCTTAGATAAATATGATCATAGAATAGAACATTATATCAGCTTTTAAGAAATATATTTTAGAAACGTACTGGAAACAGGTTACATATAGTTTATATGATATTACAGACTTATTAAGAAAACACTAGTATATGGGGAATAGAAAAACTAGAAGGATATATATCAGAACATGATCTCTGAATGGTAAGATCATATCTAATTTTTATTATTATTTTTTATAAATTCCTCTATATCCTGCCATGAGCAAATTTGGTTTTATAATCAGGTGAATAATAAATGGTATTTTTTTTTAAATAAAAAATAGCATTTTCATGAAGAGCCTCTGCTAAATTTGGATAGACTTGAAATAAACAAATTTCTTTCTTCAGCTTTTAATTATATGCATATTTTTTTCAGCTGCTCTCATCAAACCTTCAGAATTCTAGGATTACTCATTGGAGAAGGAGAGTAGAGAATAGAAAGCATATAATTTTTAGTTTACTGCTGAAAATTGGTAGATGTGACAGTAGTTGAATGGGAGAAACATTTGAGTAAATACAGTTCCTATTTGTGCTTTTGAAAATTGGCAATTTTTTATTATTGAGAGTCATTGATAATTGAGGGAACTTTATAAAAATTACTTTTTTTGGATAGGAGTTACATCTAGTGAATAGTTATCACTTGATTACCATTATCAAGGTGTCATGCTTTATAATTTGTCAGATTTAATATGTACTTTCAGTGACTCCAAAAATAGTTTCTAAATGAAAAATTTGTAGTTTAGTGATTAGATTTTATTTATGAGAATCATTTTGGTTCAGATTTTATCTTCTGTTATTAACAAGCTAATTTTGTCAGCTATGGAATTTCTGACCTGTCTTGGAAAATGATTAAGACTAAGTAAAAGAAACAGCAAGATTCTTCATTTTTAGAATCGGTCAGTAAACATTTAAATTAACAGTTTATATAGAAACAATTTTTAACATCCCAGGCTTCAGTATTGTATACTTGTTATTTGTGATATTAAAAAAGACCAAATTAGGGCCAACTGAGTGACTCAGTTGATTAATAGTTGGCTTAAGAGCGTGAGCTCTGAGCAACAGGGCCACTGGTTTGATTCCCACGTGGGCCAGTGACGCTGCGCCTGAGCTGAGCTGTCGCTGAGCTGCCAACAGGTAGCAGGATGGCTCAGCTGGTGTAACAACAAGATTGCCTGTTCGATGGTGGGCTATGCCTACCCGCAACTGAGACTGAACTCAGCACCTTGAGCTGAGCTGCCACCTGGATGGCTCAGTGGATAGGGCGTGTGCTTTTAACAACAAGGCTGCTGGTTCCACTCCCGCATGGGATGGTGACTGAGCCCACCTGCAACTAAGATTGAACACAGCACCTTGAGTTTAGAGGCCATGAGCTGCCGACGGGCAGCCAGATGGCGACTGGCGCCCTCCACAACGAAGATTGAAGAACAACAACTTGGTTGGTCCCCTTCCCTAATTCCCCAACACTGTTCCCCTCCCCCAATTCCCCAATAAAAAAAAAAAAAGACCAAATTAGTGCAGTAGAAAGCATTAAGGACCTATCTAAATGTATCAGCGTGTGAAATTAATGAAATACATGTTTTTGAGATTAGAGTTTACCTCTTCCCCTATAGCAGTGGGTCTCAACCTTCCTAATGCCGTGACCCCTTAATACAGTTCCTCGTGTTGTGGTGACCCCCAACCATAAAATTATTTTTGTTGCTCCTCTATCACTGTAATTTTGCTACTGTTGTGAATCGTAATGTAAATATCTGATATGCAGGATGTATTTTCATTGTTCCAAATTGAACATAATTAAAGCATAGTGATTAATCACAAAAACAATATGTAATTATATATTTGAAATATTTATTTCTAATTACAAATAAATGAAATTTTGTCTTGAAGCCGGGTACTTGTATGTGGGCGTATCTGCATGTGGGTGGACCCGCCTGGAGACTGATCGAGGAGCGGCGTCTCGGTTCCCAAGACCATCGAAAATATATGTTTTCCGATGGTCTTAGGCGACCCCTGTGAAAGGGTCGTTTGACCCCCAAAGGGGTTGCGACCCACAGGTTGAGAACCTCTGCCCTAGATAAAGATGACCTAAGATTAGATATCTCAAGCAATAACTGATGGATTTTTGTTTTAGCATCTTTATTTATTAATTTTGGATCTTAAACATATCAGAGTAACTGGCCAAAAGACCTTTAAGACTTCAATGAATTAAATCCTGTTCTCCCCTTGTCTACTACCGTAACTATATGTAACTTGTTTTTAAAAAGATTAAGATTTTATATTTTTAAAGCGCTAGTTCCTAGGTCACAAAGCAGGAAGGAGTTGCATGCAAGCCCAGATACCTTCAGGGACCAGGCAAGCATGGTCAGTGAGAGAAGTGTCCTCTAGTGGTGACTGTGGTGAACTAGGTTGAAAAAAATGAGTCTCTTAATTTCTTTTTTAAGCCAACAATTCACTAGTAAATATACAAAAAAATACTTTGCAAATAAACTTTATTTTAGAATAAACATTGTTAAATTCTAAAACAAAAGCGATTTTGGATTAAGTTTTAGATAAATCCATCAATATTTTATTGCAAAGCACAACAAAGTGTGCTTTTTTCTGCATAAGCACAAGGGAAATGTCAGGATTTCAGAATAATGCTTATTGGATGATAATGAGATTTCAGAAATTATAGTAGATGTAGTTAAAGAGAGTAAGAGCACAGTAGAAGAACTGAGAACAAACTCAGTTAACCTCAAAACATATTTACAAACTAAACCTAAGAAAATTCTAGAAAACACAAGAATGCACAATCATACATTCCATTAGCTGTCAAGAGATGATGTTGTCATATATCATTAACTTCTGTTCACTTGTGAGAGAATAAAATTGAAAAGGGCAAATATCTTAATGGCAGAGGATATATTTTATTTAGACATCCATTGAACTGCAGAGGGGAAGTATTTCATGTCTTATGTATCACTTATGGCTAAATGAGCCAAGTTTAATCATATTGTCTGTATCATATTTCCTTACATATTATATTTTATCTCAAATATTCATGTTATTAATACTTTCTCGACATTCAGTGATGTTTCTATTGCAGTAGACCCAAAAGCAGCACCTTGGAATATGCTTTATGTGTACGTAATGTTAAAAACACAGCTAACTTTAAATAGTTTGGCTTTTATAATAAAATTCTATCCCTATTTCCTACTATGTTTCTATTCACACTCTGTTCTTCTAAAATTCAGAATATTAGAAATAAATTTGTTGCTTATGTAATCAGCTTGTGTGTTAAAAGCTTTTCTTAATTGAAAGTATATCCTAAAACATCATAGACTGGGATAGTGTGACCTTGAATCTTTCAGACAGTGACACTCAGTGATGCGAATTGCAACAGAGCATCTTTCGTAAAGCAGAGCACCTTTCCTTGAGTATCAATTGAGAACAGGGCTTGCTGGTTGGAGTTTTGATTTCAGTTGTATTTGCTGGTTGGAGTTTTGGTTCAGTTGCATTTCTTACCCCACCCCCAGCACCTGACCTTTGAAATACAGTTTCTCCAGGTTACAATTTGGTGTATGTATTGGCGTTCTCCTGTACTGATTGTGTTGTATTTCTTTTAAATCCTTAGAAAACTTAAGGAGATTTAATGTTTTGGTTTTAAAATTTTTGCTGTTCTCTCTTTCCAAAGGGATTTTGCTGTAGGAATATGTAACAAAATCAGTGAAATGATTCAAGGTATGTATGCTTCATTTAGTATGATGAAGTGACTTAATAGGATTTATATTAAGTACTTAACTATGTGCCAGTCACTATTCATTTATTCATTCAAATAGTATTTATTAAGCATCTTCTAAATGCCAGAACTGTTGTAGGTGCTTAGGATACAGTAGTGAACAAAACAAAGTCCTTGCCCGAATGTAACCTACATTCTAGTGGTGGAAGGAAGAGGGGTAACAGCACAAAAATATGACATATCAAGTGCTACGGAGAAAAAGTGAGTGAGAAGGATAGCAAGTCCCTAGAGAAGATGGCAGGGTAGAAGGGGGGATCTTTTCTATGTTATATATGCTGATCAAGGAAGGCCTGTGATGAAGTGATATTTGAATGAGAAATGCAGATATGTAGGGGAAGAACATTGTGATACGGGAGAGTGGTGCCATTAGGTCTTGGGGCTGTCTCATTACTCTGCTAATGTCCCTCCAGTGTCTTCAATTGCAACTAAAATGTAAATTTCCTTACCATAGTTTACAAAGGCCAAGTTTTCTAATATCATCTTCTGTACTGTGCTTCACATGTATTAACCCCGTTTAAAAGGGAGCTCTGGGGGCTGGCCAAGTGGCTCAGTTGGTTAAGAGCTCGCTCAAGAGTGTGAGCTCTGAGCAACAGGGTTGCCAGTTCGATTCCTGGCCCAAGCTGAGCTTCCGCTGAGCTGCCAACAGGTGGCAGGATGGCTCCATTAAAAAAAAAAAGAGAGAGCTCTAGTACCGCAGCATTGCACTGCCCTAGAGAACACCATGTCCTTGGTATTTTTCTAAAGGGCATTCTTTGAATTGTGCAATTGAGCAGACTTGAGAGGTAATGCTATTATCTATTTTACAGAAAAGGAAATAAAAACACTTAATTGAAGACCAAGATCCAGTGGTCGAGTTTTGTCCTGTTCCCCTTTATTCCTTTGTCTTTGCCACCATCAGAAAAGGGCTTTCCTGCAGAAAGGGCTATCATTAGAAGGAAGCATCACTTATTCATTGAGCATGACCTTATTGAATCCCTGCTGTATCAAGCAAGATCTCAGCAGGAAACAGATGTCATACTTGAATTAAGATAATCCAGTGTTTAATGAAGGAACCATTTACAAAGGTATGGACAGGATAAGCTATAGGGGATAATGTCCTGCCTTCCCATTAGGGTGCGTGGGAGGGAGTGGTTACCAGAAACCTGGAGTCATGTCAAAAGGGTCACTTTGATAAACTGACCTTCAGTGAACATAATGTGACCCTGCAGAGAGAGAACCAGGGAATAAATACTCTGACCTCATTCTTTTCCTTCCCATCTCCTGGGGCTCCCTGCGCTGGCCAAAGCCAAATAGAGGCCAAATAGCAAGGGCATTTGTTGATGTAAGCTGCCATTGAATGTTGAAGTGGTATCATGTATTCACACCAACAGTTATTTTACAATGGGAAAACCAGTGACTGCAGAGTGTAAGTTAGCTGTTGGCCTATATGCAATACATTATGATTGACAGTTTTTTGTTGTCTGTCACCACAAAGCTATGCTGTAGAAGGAAAGTGTTTCTGATTAGCTCCAATGTTGACAGGAAAAGATACATTGGAGTTAGTCCTCATGGAGTCCAGCTGTGTATGCAGAGCAGAAAGGCAGTGCTGCACGAGGTTCAGAAAACTTCAGAACCATTCCATGCAGTTCACATCTTGACTTAGTGTTGGAGGAACTCATTCAAATTGTAAATATAATCAAATTATAGCCATTGAGTATGTGTGTACACATGTGTATATGTACATATCTTTTTAGTATGCTATGAGAAGACATAGGCAGCAAAATGACTTTGCTCTCTACTATGTCTTTTAAAGGCATTTTCTACTATCGCATGTAGTTTCATAGTACTGAAAAACTAATGTTAAGGTAAATACTTTTGGAAAAAAACTATTAAACTGATTGATTAGCTCTCGTATAATGATCTTTAATGTTATCAGCATAATATTAGTATATTATTTGCTTTTAAATGGTTATTTTACTAATTGAAATGTGAAATACTACCAAGAACGATGATCAGAAATCTTAAGAGTTCTTTCTGTATCCAGGCTTGACCACACCAGTGGACTTGAAGCTGAAGCTGATTCCCATCCTACAGCACATGCACCACGATGCCATCCTAGCTTCCAGTGCTCGTCAGCTTTTACAGCAGCTGGTCACCTCCTATCCTTCCACCAAAATGGTGATTGTTTCTTTGCACACTTTTACTCTGCTTGCAGCTTCATCTTTGGTGGATACGCCAAAGCAGGTAATTTCAGTTTTCTTTAAACTGCCTTTTCTTCACCTAACTTACGTATTACATTTATGATAAAAAAATAATTAACCCATAAATTTTGATAATATTAAGATCCCTTTCTCTGATAAAGACCTGTGTAAGTTCCTTTCGCTTGTTTTTCCCTTTTCCATATTCACAGTATTGATTCTTGGGATCTCCTGAGGACATGAGGTGGAGGTTGGGGTACATGGCAGAGCATGGAGTTGGCAGTAAAGAAAGAATTGAGTGTTAAAAGCCAGGTCCTGTGCCAGAACCTTGCAAGTTAAATGCTAGTGTCATTTCACAAACACACAGAAAGATGCCTAAACATGGACGCATAGCTGGTAAATGACAGGGCTGTGGTTTGAAACAAACCCTGTTTCACATCTAAAGTGTCACTAAACTACACAGCACCCCTAATGATAATTCCAGTGACAATATTTTTCACAGAGTGACTTATTTCCTTTATAGATTCAGCTTCTCTTGCAGTATTTGAAGAATGACCCGAGGAAAGCAGTAAAGAGACTTGCTATTCAAGATCTGAAATTACTTGCCAATAAAACACCACATACTTGGAATAGGGAAAACATTCAGGTATGTAGAACTTTGAACATTAATAATTTATATAGCAAAATAATATAACATTGTAATAAATTGTTTTTTCTTGACATTTTTATATCATTGTCATCTTTTAGGTGTTCGAATATGAAAAGTTTCTAAGAGCATTGTTGATATTTGTCTTAGAAGTTTTAAGTAGCAGAGTAAATACATAAAACTTCTATCATTTAATGTTTAAGTTTGTTTTAGTGAATTAGATTTGCCTCTCAATTTCTTGTTAATTTTCTTGTAAGCAGCACTCAGGCTAATTGAAAAGCCCAATTAAATTGTTTATTCTATTCCTGTGCCCTTTAGTCAGTCAATTCAGAAAGAATAGTTTTGGTGCTGCTATGATTTATTAGGGGGAAGGTGCTGGATGGGTAAGTCGGTAAAATATATTTCTCCTTTTCACAGAGAGCAAAAGACATTCTTAGGTTTTCTCATGTAAATGAAAAAGCAGGTCTCAGCCTCTAGACAATATCTTGCATTTATTTTTTCTCAAAATAGAGCCCTGTTTACCCATTACTAATAACAGATGCATCATTTTCTAAAAAATGCTGTTTGAAGTGAAATGGAAGATTGTTAGAATTCTATTTGTTTTCATGGATTTTATTATCTCTTGGTATCACAGCTACAGTGTAGCAAAAATCTTTGAAGTTCAGATTATGAAAACTAACCTGCTATGTTTGCAATGTTCTAAACGTGTTGGAATATATTATGCCTTGATAGTCACAAATATCCAAAGAGATAGGGCAGTTATTAGTATTTGCATTTAGTAGATGAGCAAATTAGGGTTCAGAGAGACTTAATATGCTTCAGAGAGTTTCTTAAGAGGGCTTAATTAAGAATTTAATTAAGAGAGCTTCTGTCCTCTAGCACTTTTTCTACTAAACAATACTGTCTTGCCAAGAAGATAATGTACCCAGTCACTTTGGTCACTTGGGGAACTTGTACATTGAACCAGATCCAAGTAAGAGCATTGTATTTTACTTTCTCAGTGTAAAATAGGCCCCACATACAGGAAAGTATATTAAATGTCTAGTTAGTAGTTTAAACAATAATTCTAAGTGGAAACCCACATAGCCACCATCCAAATAAAACATTGCGGGATCATAGAACCCTGCCCCCTTCTCTCGCATCTTCCTCCTCCATCAGAACCTCAATAACTACCCAAAGGAAACCATGACTTTGACTATTGTGATCATTTCTTTTCTCTTTATAGTTTTACCATCTATGTGTGCCTGCCCCCAAAATATTGTTGTTTGTTTTTGCTTCTTTTGCTCAACGTTATACTGATGAGACTCATCCATATTGTTGCATCTTTTTTCCCTTTAATTGCTATATAGTATTCCATCATATAGATGGACCACTGTTTATTTGCTCTTGATGGGTAATTTCCAACATGGGGGCTCTTACAAACAATGCCGCTGTGAACATTCTTCTGTTTGTCTCCTGGAGCATGTGTGCAAGAGTTTGTTTAGCGTGTATACCTATATGTAAAACTGCCATATTTGAAACTGCTGACTAACAGAATATGAGTATCTTCAGCTTTACCAGATAATATCAAACTGTTTTCCCAAATGATTGAACCAATTTACATTCCTAACAGCAGTGCCTGAGAGTGCCCATTGATCCACATCCTTGTCAACAGGAAGAATATTAGACTTTTAACATTTTTACCAGTTTAGAAGTTGTAGTTTTAATCTGTAATTACATAAGAGTTTGAACATCTTTTTAATATATTCACCATTTGAATTTCCTCTTTTGTGAAGTGGCTATTCAAGCCGCTTGCCTGTTTTTCTGTTGATTTGTAGTCATTCTTTGTATATTCTGGATACTTGTACTGTATTAGTCCTTGGCAATTGTATATAAATTGTAGAAGCAGCTGATAGAGTTTCACCTCTTAAAAAAAGTTGACAATTTAGTTGGGATTACATTGAGAAGGAAAATCAATTTGTAAGAAATTGGTATCTTTACAATGTTAAGTCTTCCAATGCATGAACATGTTATATCTTGACATTTATTTAGGTCTCTTTAATGTATCTTTTATCTTACTGTTTTGTTTGATATTAATATGGCTACTTTAGCTTTCTCCTGGATGTATTTACGTGATAGATTGTTTGTTGTCCTTTTACTTACAACCTTTATGTATCTTCATGTTTCAGATATGTCTTTCAGTATTTAATTATTTTTAATCCATCCTGGTAGTCCTTGTCATTTTAAAATGGAGCATTTGGTTCATTTACATTTACTATGCTACATTATGTATCAGGGTTTACGTTTTTTTTTGTTTGTTTTTTTTTTAGCTGAGCCATCCTGCTACCTGTTGGCAGCTCAGCGGCTGCTCAGCTCGGGCTGGACTCGAACCACTGTTGCTCAGAGCTCAAACTCTTGAGCGAGCTCTTAACCAACTGAGCCACTCGGCCGGCCCAATCAGGGTTTAAATGTTATCTTATTTTGTGCTTTTTATATGTCCCCCTGATCTTTTCTTTTCTTGGACGCCCTCTGGGTTGTTTTTAATATCTTACCATTTATTTTTCCTTTGAATAGTTGGGAAGTTTACAGTCTTTAATATTCTTTTAGATGTTATCCTAGAAGTTACAACATGCATAGTTATAGAAATCTAAAATTAATTCGGCCACAGAGACCTTAGAACATACTTTAACTCCATTAACTCCATTTACATCCCTCTAAACTTTTATGTATTGTTGTCATGTATCTTAATTCTCTCTCTTTTCATCATACAGTTTGTTATTGTTTTAAAACCTGAAGGAAGGAAGAGCCCAAGTACAGTGTATTATTATTAAGGTAGTCAAAAGCAGAATTAATTTCTTGGGAACAAAAATATTTTTTCATGTGTTTATAGTTTTCTTTGAATTTTTTTTATACATTGCTAAGGTAAATATCCATTTTAGCTGATGTTAATCTGTATCAATAGTTTATACTGTTCTGATGTTACAGTGTTATTAGAAGAGGCTGTTTGATTTATGCAACTTCTTTGTTACAAAGCAAAAGACTGTTTGTTCTAGATATTTTCAAAGACATAATTTTATTTTTGGCATTATCTCTCCTGAGAGTTTTGATTTGTACTTTACCTGATATTAGGAGCAATGGTAAGTTAAGCCTGAGAATTAATCTTTTTTTCTAATCTTTTTTTTATTTTGCATTAGTACAGTGGAGACAGAAAATGTAGATGTGTTGTGTCTTTGACAGAGTCCTTTTAAACATAACATTTTTCTTTAAAGATTATAAACTTTCTGCCGTCCCTTTCTGGAGCACATCCCTGGTGGCCAGTCTCATTCTAGAGTAGAAGAGAAGCCCCTGTTTAGGGACTGACCCAGAAAACAGCAATTCAGGGCAGAGCCTCATTTGGGCAGTGAGTGAAACCAGCATAGGGAGAGAAATTCAGACCAAATAGTGAGGAAGACAGTGGAGGTGAGTAAGAAATGGGGCTCCATTTGAAGAGTTAGATTTTCCCTATTTGTCAGTACGAAAACTGATCCTTGTAAGGACAATTTTGTAATAGGTAATGTCCTAGAATCAGAAACATGAACCAGATGTCATTGAAATATGATGTAACATCTCTGGGGAACTTTGTGATGTGTTCTGTTAAGCTTACCAATTTGAATTAATGAAACTTTATATCAGTACATGTTTACTAGAGCATTTTAGGCACCCAGTACTGTGCAAGGTGACAGAAATTAGAAGATAACATTTTAAATAATTTTATCATAAGATTTTCTAAACATTTTTTTCAGTTTTTCAAATGGTAAAATTCTTGTTCTTTACGATTACTAATACCGTTATCATCTTATATAAAATGCCTCACTTGCCTGCTTGATGATCCCAAAAGATTTAATGTCTTTTATACACAGAGCACTCTACAGAACATAATTTCATATTAATTATATAAATATAGGACCTTGTCTTTAACCTCTGGAGCTCTTTGTTTGAGGATGATACCTACCTAACCACAAGCTAATTAACAGTACAAGGCAGGACAGTTTAGGCAATAAAAAGTGGATAAAAGGAAATGGTCTAAGTACTTGAATAAATAAATAAAAACTAAGTGTTACCTAATCGCAGTCACTTTTTAAAAAATACTTTTTTTTGAACTTCAAAAACAGTATCTACCGGGGGTGCCAAAAAAATGTATAAGTGGGAACTTTGGTCAGCGTTGCTCAAGCAGTAGTTCGCCATAATCAGAAGTGTCTGAACGCTGATGGGAACCACTTTGAGCACCTCTTGTAATTACAGAAGTTAAATGTGACTTGTAGTCATCTTTTGTTGCTGGTATATATCGAGTATGACAATTTTAATAGTTTTTTCCTTAAAATGAGTATACATTTTTTTGGCATGTTCTGTATATCTGCTTTTATTTCTTTGTCCCCTGCTTTTCTTTTTATTAAATTTGTTGGGGTTCATTGGTTATTAAAATTACACAGGTTTCAAGTGTACCTTTCTATAATACATCATCTGTATATTGCATTGTGTGTTCACTACCCAGAGTCAGTTCTCCTTCCATCACCCCACTTGCTTTTAGATCTGTTTCCCTATCACTTGGCTTAGGCACTTAATCCAGAGGCTTTTTCTGCCATTATCATCTGTCCTCTGTAATACTGACTCTGTCAACCTACTCATTCTTTTGCTTTCTTTGGCACTTACCTGTCCTCACTCATTCTTTCCACTCTCTAAACTGTGCCTTCTTTGTGCTCGGCACTCTCTGTTCCCCTCAGGGTTAAATCTTTGACCCTAGGTGCTTTCTTCCATTTATTCTCTGCCATTAGGGTAGCTTCCCATTCTGGTTGCACTCCCCAATGGTCTAGTCCTTGTACTTGACCTTCCGAATTGCTCTCCAACTTAGCAGTTTGTAGGGGCTGCAAAGTGCTTTGACTCTCAGTAGCTATTTAATCTTACAGACAGTAGATGTCAGCCCCCCACCGCCACTTATAGTTTAAATTTTAATACATTCTCTTAATGCCAATACAGTCATGTATCAAAATTCAAAAGCCACAAAAGAATATATAATAAAAAATTTTCCTCTTACTGTTTGCTCTACCATTCACTCAGCTACTCTGACCAATGGCAATCAATGTCTGGTTTCTTGTATATTTTTCCAGAATGTTTTATATGAAAACAACAGTTCTGTATAAATCTTTACCCCCATTTTACAGACAAAGAAGTTGAGACTCAAAGATTTCAGTAATTGGCTCAGATCACAGAGATGGTAAGTGGCAGAGCCAGAATTCTAATGCGAGTCTTCTTCCACTTACAAATCTGCTCCATCTCAGATTCCCAGTACCTGGTGGACATTGCTTCTTGGACTTAATATCTTCCTATTTTCTGTCCTTTCTCTGAAATTAGCAAGTCCCCATAAATTCTCAGTCTTTGTAAATGGAATCAACACTGTCTGCCACTGGCCTGAAATTTTGTAATAATTATTGAATCCTTTTTGTTCATTCCCTCACATGTAATCTCTTTCAAAATGTCGCTCATGTTCATCCTCTGATTTCCAGTGCTACCACCAACTCACATTCAGGCCATCATCACCACCTGCCTGAATTACTGCCATAAGCTACAGGTTGGTCCTTAACTGTCAACTCTCCGTTAACTTGTTCTATTTACCATTGCCAGAATAAAATTCCTTAACACTTTAGATGACATTATTCCTCTCCAGTGGCTTCCTTTTTCCTTTCTTCTCAAATTTAAATCTGCCTAGCTTTCAAGACCCTCTTTAATCTACCGTATTTGCCGGCGTATAAGACGACTGGGCGTATAAGACAACCCCCTAACATTTCCACTCAAAATACAGAGTTTGTTATATACTCACCGTATAAGACTACCCCCTCTTCCGCACACCTTCCACACACCAAATAAA